TACACACCATTTAAGGTCACGAGATGAAGAATTCTATTGAGTTTCAATGATTTCCGATAATTACTGCCCAGGTTATTGCCCTTGATAACTTTGAAAAATTTTGTGTAGGCTAAGGTTTTAACTTGTGACAATTGCTATCGAAACATAAAGCTTTAGTAGAAGTTGAGCAAAACATGTATTGTCTGTTCTGTAAATAATGAAAAAAATTAAATTTGTTGAAGTAGAAAAGCTGTTGTTAGAAATATTGGTTAAAATGCACTCTAACACTAACACATGTTTAACTAATCTTAATTTTGATTTCAGAAGCCTGTAGAAAATTACATATAAACAGTACTATTAAAGAGATCAATGATTTCATTGGAGATACCCTCAAATATGCTCAGGTAATCAACTTTATCATATTTTCAATTTGAGAGAATATTGTTACCATAAAAGTCAGTCCATCAGTCTGTAAAATTCCAGTATTTGTGAAACTTCATTGGGCCAGAGAAAATCATATGTCCAAAACTTAAGTGTGACTCTAGTCCAAAGATTTGTCTTATCTATGACGAGGATATCTAAACAGACTTGCGAAAATCTTAGCTGAGAAGTATCTAAAGCATTTATCAGGAATCATAACACATATTCAAATGTTATTGCGGCCATGGTTCTCAATATTTTTTCGAACATGATTTGCAGAACTGTCAATCAAATGAGGTAAATTTAGGCAATTGATAAGCAATTTCCGGTTTTGATTAGCATTATTTTGGGAAAATTGTGATTAAATAATGTCTTTAAATTGTAAATTGTTGAATTTACAATATAATTCTAAGATTTATTTAAGTATAAATATTTCAAAAATTATTATTATAAATATAGATTTCAAACTTTGCCCACTGCTGTCTATACTTTCATGTCTTACAAATACTTTCTTCAAAGCAGTGCCAGTTGAGACACTGGTTGTAAACATATCGGAATAGTTTTGATATGATATTTCGGGGTTGATTGGGTTTTTTTGAAATGACATGAAATAATATGGGGTTTAATGTCCTACTGTTCTGCTCCGAATTGGGCAAATGAAGACGGTTGTATTTTGGACACAAAAAGCACAACCATATTATGTGCTGTCATCCACTCATTAGTTTACTGGATATTTGTATAGACATTTCATGCCAAAGCTAACTTGCCTCATTTTGTTTTATAATTACAGAAGAGTTACCTTACAAGATACAAATGATAGTAATGAGTCATAATTATATACTGTATGATTATATGCTGATTCTGTGATACTGTATGACAATATATAAACTGATTCTGTGATACTGTATGACAATATATATACTGATAGAACTGTGATACTGTATAATAATATACTGATTTTGTGGTTCTGATACTGTGATATATGTTTGTATACAGATTTTGTGATTCTGATTACTTTGATACTGCATGATTATATACTGGTTCTGTGATACATGTATATGATTATATGTACTGATTCTGTGATACTAGTTGATAATATACTGGTTCTGTAGTTCTGATTACTGTGATACTGTATGATTATATACTGATTCTGTGATTCCAATTTCTGTGATACTGTATGACTATAATAAAATTCTGTGATAAAATATGATAATACACTTGTAGTTATACTGTGGTACTGTATGATAAGATAGTGATTAGAGAGATACTATGATAATATACTGATTCTGTGATACTGTCTGATAATATACTGATTCTGTGAAACTTTGATTATATACCGATACTGTGATACTGTATGATAATATACTGATTCTGTGATACTTTGTGATTATATACTGATACTGTATGATAATGTACTGATTCTGTGATACTTTATGATAATATACTGATTCTGTGAGACTGTGATACTATATGATTTTAATACTGATACTATATGATTATAATACTTATACTGCATGATTATAATACTGATTATACAGGTATACTGATTCTGTGATACTGTAGGATTGATTATACATTGATGCTGTGATGCACTGATACTGTATGATAATATACTGATTCTGTGTTACTATATGATTATATACTGATTCTGTGATTCTGATTACTGTAGGATTATTTAATGTTTCTGTGATATTGATGTATGATTTCTGTGATATTGATTTAGGCCTATACTTTTTAATTTATTGTTATCATTACTTATTAAATTTATTTAAAAAAAAAATTCTGGTTAATATTCATATTTTTGATGATAGAATTAAGCTGACCTTTGAAGAAATGATATTACAGGTTATACTTGAGTTACACATTATCTGTAACGTTTAGGGGGAATAATTTAATGCATGCTTTAGACGTTATAGAGAACATTTCCGGGGGAGAATTGAAAACCTGCTATATACGTTATCGGTAACGTATTAGGGTGGGGATTTAGCATATGCTATTGACGTTTTAGAGAACGTTTTAGAGGGAGAATTGAACACCTGCTATGGACGTTATCGGTAACGTTTTAGGGTTGGGATTAAAGACGTGCTATTGACGTTATCGGTAATGTTGGGGGGAGGGGGTATTTAACACATGCTATAGACGTTATCGAGAACGTTTATGGAGGGGGATTTCACGCATGCTGTAGACGTTAACGGGAACGTTTACGGAGAGGAATTTCACAAATGCTGTAGACGTTATATGTAACGTATTGCGGTTAGAAATTAACACATGCTTTAGCGTTATAGGGAACGTTTACCGAGAGGATTTTAACACCTGCACTAGATGATATCTGTAACGTTCAAGGAGGGAAATAAAACACATGCTATAGACGTTATCTGAAACCTTACAATGGAGGGATTTAACACATTCTCCAGAGGTTATCTGTAACGTTTAGGTTAGGAGAACTTAACACATGCTATTGACGTTATCCGTAACGTTAAAGAGGTGAAGTGTAATACATGCTGTAGACGTTACCGGTACCTTCCCCATAATATAAAGCGAACCGAAATAAAGGTTCAGATAACGTCCTGGGATCATTTTATGAAAACCTTTTTAATCCGTGCCACGAGTACATTTTATAACATTCTTTTAGAAAGTTGGGAGAACGACAAAAAAAACTTTCCCGGTTCACGTGAGATGAACATTCAAAACTAACGTGAAATAACCATAATAACTAATGTTTTCAAAACGTTAACATTAATGTTCAGTAAACGTATCCTGTAACGACAACAACACTTTCCTGGGTCACGTGCCACAAACATTCAGAACGAACGTGAAATAACAGAATAACTAATGTTTTCAAAATGTTAACATTAATGTTCAGTTAACTTATCCTCTTACGTTTGTAAAAAAACGTTGGCCTCACGACAACAAGACTTTCCTGGCTTATGTCAGATGAACATTCGAAACTAACGTGAAATAACCATAATAACTAATGTTTTCAAAACGTTAACGTTAACGTTTTCAATACGTTAACATTAATGTTCAGTAAAGGTATCCTGTAACGTTTGTAAAAACGTTAACGTTACGACAACAAAACTTTCCTGGGTCACGTGCCACAAACATTCAGAACGAACGTGAAATAACAGAATAACTAATGTTTTCAAAACGTTAACATTAATGTTCAGTTAACTTATCCTGTTACGTTTGTAAAAACGTTGTCCTTACGACAACAAAACTTTCCTGGCTTACGTCAGATGAACATTCAAAACTAACGTGAAATAACCATAATAACTAATGTTTTCAAAACGTAAACGTTTTCAATACGTTAACATTAATGTTCAGTAAAGGTATCCTGTAACGTTTGTAAAAACGTTAACGTTACGACAACAAAACTTTCCTGGGTCACGTGCCACAAACATTCACAACGAACGTTAAATAACGAAAAAATAATGTTTTGAAAACGTTCGGAAAACTAAATTTTGTTAACTGGGTAATCATACGATGGCGTGATAAATAGACAATTCCATATATGATCATGAGTCTTATCTATTTTCCCTATTGTTGGACGCTATATAACCAGGAGTTTGCTGACAGAGAGACGAGAGACAAGAGGAGGAGGGGAGCAGAGAGCGGCGTATGGACCCGAGTTCAGCCGCTGCCGTGGCAAGAGGACGGAATGGTTGTCTTAATGTGTCATGTAAATGTTATCGTTTATATTCCCGATGTTATTTAGTTCCTGTTGTATTTATGCAGTTGGGGTATATTTTGTTCCGATGTAAATAAACCCTATATGCACTAAACTGATCTGTGTTATCACTAAAATAGTGTAACAGTGATGTGTTATGGTGCATTGACCGGTGGTTTCCATAGGCAATCGGTACCTACAGGGTCTGTTATAATGCTATCGACAAACAGGACCCCTGGGTGTGTTCCCATGATAACGAAGAAATTCCTGCGTGGCAGTCAAAATAGTTTTCACCGCTAGACACCTGATGAGTTGGTAAACAAAACACAAATAATGCAGGACTAAAAAGTTTATCTTCGAAAACGTGGGTGGCAGACGCGGTTTTCCATAGAAGATAGTGTTACAAAAATCCATTCAGAATTGTGGTCTTCAGACGCTAAACACAAAAAATAGGCGTAGCTCTGCCCCTGGGGTCGAGACATGCACCATAACCAATAGTTGCCGCCCTTAGGTTATAAGAATACATATGCCTAGTTTGAAGATGATCTATTCAGTATACGATGAACACAAAAATTGGGCGCGGCTCTGCTCCTAGGAGTCGGGACATGCACCAAAATCAATAGTTGCCGTCCTTAGGCTATAAGGAATACTTATTCCGCGCTGTATCATAAGGCTTGTCATTGAGTTAACTGGCGTGGTTTCGAATCCCCAGTTGTACGTGACAAGGAGTAGGGTCGTCTGTCCAACCTCGTGGGTTTTCTCCGGGTCCTCCGTTTTCCTTTCACTGCTAACCATATGTTAAACCATATGTTAGCCCCGAAATGACCTAGTTTGTGTTGAGTGGACGTTAAACCCCATTTCTCTCTCTCTCTTTCTCTCGCATAATACGTCCTCATTATGAATAGTATTTTAGTACGGTATTTAAAATCCTTACCTTTGTTTTTGAGTTGATATTAGAGAAATGAATCCCACTAAAACAATTATAACTGTTTGATAGTCCATCGTTACACTTTCATTTCAACATGTGTTACTGGTATTCTGAACTACAACAATAATACTACATCAGCCTGCTTGCTTTGTTTATGTTGAAGAGACTGGAGCAAATTTATTTACGTAGAGTATTTAAAATTGAATAAGATGAGGCCAACAAGAAAATATATTGGTTTAATTGGTCTATGGCTTGAATGATCATATGAAGTTTGGTGTCAAAGGGGTATTAAACGCCCTCCGCATCCTGGGGCTTCCCTGGTAGACAGAAAGCCGAGGTTGTTTAGAAATAATGTTTCATGATTATGGCTATGCAGATAACTGGGTGTTTTAAATTGTTTTATGTAAATCGAGGGCGGGGGGGGGGTCTAGTGGTTTAATGCTTGCGTGTGAAATCTCAAGGTCTCAAGGTGAATCTACACCATGCACATTAAAAAACATCATTGCGCTAAAAATCATTTACATTTGCTCAAAAGGAGCTGTTCAGTATTGACGTTTCATGATATGGTCCATCAATTCTATGTAAGTCATTGGATAGATTTGTGGGACATTCTACATCAGTCCCTTTAAAACTTATGTTATTGGAATAATATATCAAATTTTCCCACAAGAGGCCCGGAGATTTAAGACCATTTCAGATGTCTATAACTGCAAGGAAATCAGGTCAATTTTTACTCCAAAACACTGTTATATTTATCACCCGTCATTCGCTCGATGTATGGGGGACTCTGTGGCGACCCCCCCCCCCCCCATCATTTTCTTTACACTTCTGCACGAATCCCAGGACCAATGATTTTGAAAAGTTCTGATACCCGAGAAACGAAGTTTAGTGATTACAGTTATCTAGTCCCTTTATCAAGTCCCCTTTGAATATATGACGTCAAAGTAGTCATTGTATAACTTTTTAGAGGCATTCTGCACTAAACTCTTAAAGTTACAATTTCATATTTTTATGTTATATTTTTAAAATGTATTAAAATAAAGCCCTAAAATAGATGGTATCTATAAACAGCCCTACGTTGTTAAAGAATAATCCTATAATTCACTATTGCCAGTTGAGAAATTGTCAAAAATATCATTTTCAACTTCAAATTCAAACGTTTGAAGATAGCTATTCCATGGTGGGGAATAGGAAAACAAGGGAGGTAATTTAGAGGTAATGGTGTTATTATTTCAGGTGTGAAGATTTTTAGGTGTGAGAAAGATAACCTATGATCGTATATTAGTGAGTTGACAACCCATTGAGCAAAAGACACAGAAACAATTATGTTTTGACTTTCTTAGAAAATATGAAATTGTAACTTTAAATAAGATATCAATGGGAAAACACATCCTGGTCTTGTAAAACACTATAGTTTAATTTATTAGCCTGAACTAAACCAGGATGTGCTACACGTTATCTGTAATTTCTTCTCGTCTGTCACGTCCCTTTCTGATAAACGAGATTAAGTTTCTCTCTCTTAATAGTGGGGCGGTTAAGGAAGAATTTTTGGTAGAATCGTGCATTTTGGGTTAAAAGCATGAAACTTGGCACATAGATGGCATCAACCCTACTGATTATTTTGGGATGTGGATCCACCTCAGCAGCTCCCCCTGGTGGTCGTTACGGCCATCTTTTCCGAAATGGCCGCCTATTCATTGATATACATATAACAAGGGGTGTCACAGTCACAATAAGACATTTTTTTACAAATCATTTCAGGCCAGCAATTTCCAGATGCAAAATTGCTAGCTGAACACGATTTTTGAAAAAAGATTTATCTATGACGTCATTTTCGTTTGGGTTTTGCCTGATTTCAAAAATGGCCGCCAAAATTTGAAGAAAAATGAATTTGCAGATAGGATGGGTGATTATCACGCAATGTATGCCTTGTAATATATCAAATATATGGTTTTTGCTGTAATTGAACTGAAAAATAATCTAAAACTAGTTTTCCAAATCCAAGATGGCGGAAATTCAAAATGGCGGCCAAAATATACCCAAAATGGCGGATTGATCAGATTAAAGTCATTTCACTGTTTGATTTGGTTTGTAATATATAATTTAAAGGGTTTACATTGTCACTGAACTTAAAATTAATCTAAATAAAAAAATAGTTTCCAAAATCCAAGATGGCGGAAATTCAAAATGGCAACCAACCTTTATCTAAAATGGCCGATTTGTCAGATAAAAGTCATTTCACTCTTTGATATGGTTTGTAATATGTAAATTAAAGAGTTTTCAAAGTCATTGAAATTAAAATCAATCTAAAAAAAAGAGTTTCCAAAATCTAAGATGGCGGAAATTTAAAATGGCTGCCAGAATTTTCCAATAATGATCAAATTTTAGGATAATCGTCAATTTTCTTTTTGATATGGCTTGTAATATGTCCTCTATTAAGTTTTCAGAGTCACTGAATTCGATAATTGTAGATCATTGTTTCAGAAAAAAGAGACAATCTTCAATCTTTCTATTGGATTGGTTTATAATAGCAAAGTGTAATAGTTTTTTGAGGGCAACTGAAATTGACCGGACTCAGGAATCTACCTGTCAGTCAATTAACCATGTGCAGAACTTACCAGTCAGCTAATTAGAATTTCAAAGAATTTAACCTTAATTAGCTGACTGGTAAGTTCTGCACATGGTTAATTGACTGACGGGTAGATTCCTGAGTCCAGTCAATTTCAGTTGCCCTCGAAAAACTATTACACTTTGCTATTATAAACCAATCCAATAGAAAGATTGATGATTGCCCCTTTTTTCTAAAATAATCATCTACAATTATCAAATTCACTGACTCTGAAAACTTAATAGACGAAAATGATCTGTGGATAGCGGGTACCATATTTAGACTATACCACAAACGGTTTCCGGCCATAAGTATTCTGAACCAGTGAAAAGTGTAAAATGAACCATCAAAGTTCTGCAACTTTTGTCGTATAGTCTAAATATGGTATCCACAGATCATTTTCGTCTGTAATGTATCGCACACCAAGTTCTAAGTTTAAAAAAAATCATCACAAAAATAATTTGAAATGCATTTACGACTAGTATAGGTATCCCAAAAAAGGTCACCCCCAACGATTTCCTCTTTTCTAATGTGTTGTTCTTGCATGTAGAACTTGTTGTGAAATACGTCACTGACGAAAATTACCTGTGGATACCACATCTAGACTCTACCACAAAAGTTACTGGACACAGAGTATATCAAACAGAAAATTCACGATTATCCTAAAATTTGATCATTATTGGCAAATTCTGGCCGCTATTTTGAATTTCCGCCATCTTAGATTTTGGAAACTCTTTTTTATTTTAGTTTGATTTTAAGTTCAATGACTTTGAAAACTCTTTATATTACATATTACAAACCATATCAAAGAGTGAAATGGCTTTTGTCTGATAAATCGGCCATTTTAGATAAATGTTGGTTGCCATTTTGAATTTCCGCCATCTTGGATTTTGGAAACTATTTTTTTATTTAGATTGATTTTAAGTTCAGTGACAATGTAAACCCTTTAAATTATATATTACAAACCAAATCAAACAGTGAAATGCCTTTAATCTGATCAATCCGCCATTTTGGGTATATTTTGGCCGCCATTTTGAATTTCCGCCATCTTGGATTTGGGGAAACTAGTTTTAGAGATTATTTTTCAGTTCAATTACAACAAAAACCTTATATTTGATATATTACAAAGCATACATTGCGTGATAATCACCCATCCTTTCTGCAAATTCATTTTTCTTCAAATTTTGGCGGCCATTTTTGAAATCAGGCAAACCCCAAACGAAAATGACGTCATAGATAAATCTTTTTTTCAAAAATCGTGTTCAGCTAGCAATTTTGCATCTGGAAATTGCTGGCCTGAAATGATTTGTAAAAAAATGTCTTATTGTGACACCCCTTGTTATATGTATATCAATGAATAGGCGGCCATTTTGGAAAAGATGGCCGTAACGACCACCAGGGGGAGCTGCTGAGGTGGATCCACATCCCAAAATAATCAGTAGGGTTGATGCCATCTATGTGCCAAGTTTCATGCTTTTAACCCAAAGTGCACGATTTTTTGCTTAACCGCCCCACTATAATGGCACCATTCGTTTTGTAACAAGTGTCGAAGGCTGTTTTCTAGACATTGAACCTGGGTGTTCTATATAAAGAGCATTCTTAAATAACAACGAACTCGTAAGAACTTCTGGGAGTCACCTTGTCCACATCCGCTTCTGTAAGACAGGTCAATGGAACAGTCCATCCAGCAGAGGTGTGCTTCTCCATACCCCTACGTATAATCTTTCTGTCATGATTGGAATCACCCCTTGGCTTTTATATCTAGTAGCGACAACAAATGAACTCTCCACGATAGAAATCGGTCTACATGTACTCTGCGATCATAGAATCATCTGAAGTTGAAGGGGAGGGTGGGGGGGGGGCGAATGTCATTGAGTCAAGTGGCGTGGTGTTTATTCCCAGCTTGTACAAGCAGTAGGGTCGTCTGTCCAACCTCGTGGAGTTTCTCCGGGTATTCAGGTTTGATGCCGCTGCTAAAGACGCCTACGCGCAAGCGAATTAATGAAATTATATTGAACCATATGGTAGTCCGGAAATTACCTAGTTTGTGTCGAGTGGGCGTTACTCCCTCCCTCTCTCTCTCTCTCTCTCTCTCTCTCTCTCCGGAAAATGTAAATTTCCTGGGGAATTCTACACAATACTATGGAAAACAGGTTCGGTAAATACATTATTATTCTAGAGAAGGTAGATGTGTCCCCAAATAGTTTTCTATGTCCCTACCCAAGCGGGCCCACCCACAAAGCTTTATACAATTCCAATAGAGAAAACTGCAGTTTTAGCTAACGGCCGGGCTCTTCACTAAGACCTCTTACCAATCCAATTAAAGATAGATCATGTAAGATCGGTATAATAGTTTAAAAGTAGATAATGAAAAATGAATATATTGAATTTGAAAATTTCAAATGACTTTATTCTTTTGTGTTTGGACAAGATGTGGTCTAGTTTGTTTATTATAATTATCGTAGCAGTAGTAAATCACAACTGAGAGTAATCCTCGATTAGCCATTCTTAAATTAAATTATTAAATGACGATCGTGTTTCAATCCATTTAACTCTCGACCATCCGATGATCTAGAGGGTTTATTATTGGTTTGTTTATGTCAAAATATTAGTGTATATAACATTTGAAACTAAAAGAGAAAGACCTGCAATAGGTAGATTTAGCTCTTACATAATGCATCTTTAAATGGTATAACTCACATTAAGACAAGATGTACATCAAGCGCCTTGCACTCAATTAATCGTACTTAAAATGCCAGGAACTAAAGGAAAATTGTTATATTTTCAATAGATAAAATGCGTTGCGTTGGTTCCGGTCTCAGTGGGGTTTTAACTCAAGACCACATGTCTTCACCATGTTAACACATCGGTGCCATTAGCATGCACTAAAGTAATACTCAAGTAAATATAAAAAGGAACGCGTTTACCCCATCATGTGTATTTATAATTATATGATTTGGTAAATATCCTGCTTATTAATGAATCCACCAATGAAACTACAAAATGATTGGATATGCACAACTTGTATTATTACATATACAAAAAGATTAAACACAATCTGATTAAAACACAGATCCTGTTTCGTTTTTGATAGTTCAAAATTTCGTTTTACTTGTCTTTACTTCACCAGGATCTGGATGAGTTGTTATAAACTCGCGTTGTGGTTGATGTGAGGGATTGGCCAATGAAACGGTATGTTGCAGCGAACTGTGGGTATCCCACTAGAAACATCAACGCTGATTGGTTAATCAAAGGTCTGACATCATAGGTATGACCACTGACGCAACCTTCCACTCTAACTGGTCAGATCTTCAAGAACTTGAGGCCATCGAAAGTATTCAAAAAAAAAAAATAAAAAAAAAGAACGAAACGAAATATAGATCTGTATTTTAATCAAATTGGACTAAATACGCCATTGGAAGGATACGCGCATGTTGATTAAACGAAATCGCCAGATGTTTCTTCTCTTCCCTATGTGTATATAATACAGAAGTGTGCGTTCGGGTGGGGATCGAAATCCGAAGTTGGCATGCTCGTGTAACCATCCTGATGTTTTTAATATGGCGTATTTGTAACATGGCAATATTCCTGCAAATATATAAAAAGATAGGTTGTCAGTCAGGCAACGAAACATACGCCCACAGCAGCTAAATTGTCCGGGTAGTCAACAAGTGTTGTCGCATATTTTTACTTTTTTCGATAATGAAACATTTATAATACACTAAAATCTGATTAAGAGTAACAACTCATGAAGTAATTATCAGAAAACGATTAGAATTTGTTTGGTTTTTATAAAGTTCTGCCCCATGCTAACGTTTAGTAAACGAAAATTTTAATATCATGGATTTAGCTGTTCAAGTCATAAAAATTCATTGAAAATCAATAGGCTTCTTCGTCTCATGGCCTTAAACACTGTGTATAAATTTAAAGTCAATCGGATATTAACTTTAGCCCCTAGAGCCTTCACAAGATTTTTCAAAGTGATCAAGGGTCATAACTCTTGCAGTAATTATCGTTAATCGCTGAAAATCAATAGGTCTGGTGACCTTAAACACTGTGTATAAATTTTAAGTCAATCGGATATTAACTTTAAGCCTCTAGAGCGTCCACAAGATTTTCAAACTGATCAAGGGCCATAACTCTGGCAGTAATTATCTTAAATCGCTGAAAATCAATAGGCTTCTTCGTCTCATAAACTTTAACACTGTGTATAGATTTAAAGTCAATCGGATATTAGCTTTGGCCTCTAGAGCGTCCACAAGATTTATTTAAGTGATCAAGGGCCATAACTCTGGCAGTAATTATCGGAAATCGCTGAAAATCAATAGGATTCTTCGTCTCATGGGCTTAAACACTGTATATAAATTCAAAGTCAATCGGATATTAATTGTGGACGCCGGACCGACGGACGGATCGACGTGTGCGACGACCATGTACGACCACATTTCAATGTGGGCGTATAAAAATTCAGATTTCTACTAATTAGTATGAATTGGTTTGATTCTATGCTTTCACTGATTACAAAATCCATTGCCGGACTTTAGACAAACTAGGTCGCCATTCCTCAGTGTGACTGGGTCGTTTTGTCTTTGGACAAAACTTGGCATTAAACTATATTATTATCAATCGCATTTAAATACTCATGTGTTTATATTTATAGATGTAGTTCCTTAAAGGCACTGCTTGTCTGTCAAGTCTGTCAACTCCGCCAGAATTCGTTTGATTAATTAATCCGTCCCTCGCCACATCATCCCCTTGTGTTTACCATAGCTAACAAACTTTTGTTCTACTTTTGTGTTAGTATATTGAATCCTGCTGCGGTTCAAAAAGGTATCATTGATATTACGTTATAATAAGCTTTGTATAGAGGGGATGGAGTGGGGCTAAGCTATAATGGTCACCCTGACATGAGGAAAGACCCAACATTTATGGTTATTGTCAGATACATATTTATGTTAAGTTTCAGCCATGACCTCACAAAATCCCAACTTTAGGGCGTGGTTGGACAGAGTTAATGCGATTTGACTTGGGGAAAGCCCCAAAATTTTAGGTTAGATTTTTTAAAATGATATTTTCCAAGTATAGATCTTTGTTTCTGGCAAGTTTAAACCATGTAACTGATGAGCCAGTTTTAGGGCGTGGTTGAGCAGACTTTAGAGCGATCTTACCTGGGGAAAGCTCCTAAAGTTTTGGTTAGATTCTTGAAAATTATATTTTACAAGTATAGATCTTTGTTTCTGTTAAGTTTCAGCCATGTTACTGATGACCATATTCTTAGCCCCACTTTCAGGACGTGATCGCGGGCACACTTTAGAGCGATCTGACTTGGGGAAAGTCCCCAAATTTTTAATTAGATTTTTGAAAATTATATTTTCCAAGCATAGGTCTTTGTTTCTGCTAAGTTTCAGCCATGTAACTGATGAACATATTATTAGCCCAACGATTTGTGAAATATTTACTCCGGCTATGGATAGCTTTGCTTCTATAAGAAGGTTTCAGCCATGTAACTTATGACCTAATTTTTGGCCACATGAAGGGTACTTTAAGGTGCTGCTGTGGCTGTATGCCCCAGCAGTGCCCGATCTGATGAAATTAACATTTATTTGGGGGGGGGGGGCAAACCTTTTGTAACTGATGACCATATTATTTTGTCATTAGCTCCTGGACTATAGTTTGGGCTGATGACCCCGTGTTCCACACGTAAAAGACCACTGGTCTTTGGAATTTGATGAATGAATAGTAGGCGGAAACGGTGCTGTCCGGGCAAAAGTCGACCTTCTAACATTGTAAACATAATCATTGAAATGCTATATGTTAGCTACAAAATGACCATTCCATATATAAACGACTTGGTCACATCAGCACAGTCACAATTATTAAGGTATTAATGCCGGGGGTTGTGAGCTTTTAAGCTTTATAAAAAGCACAACAAATTACGAGCGCTGCTAAACAAAAATTAAAAAAAAAAACAATATTTTTTAGGCATTTTTTTTTTAATTTCTATCTCAGTAGGCTGCGGCTTAAACATGTATTGATTCTATATTATTTACTGCCCACAAACGATGTCGTATTCCCATTCCGAATTCCGAATCACGTTATCACTTGATGGTATGGCATAAATAATGGTGTTGGTGAAAACCAGTCTTCCGTTCTTTATCTAAAAATAAAAGTAAATAATTGTCAAATAATAGTTTAATCTGACAAATAATTACCTGGGATGAAAAACACGACTTGATTCAGAAATTGGAGCCACGGTGGCTCAGTCAGTAAGACGTTGGTATGCTGCCAGGGAGGTCCCGTGTTCGATCCCTGTATTGACCGACAAAGTTCATCACATTTTCCGGTGTGGTTCTCTCATGTAGTGGTGTACGGCGGATGACTTGGCATGTTACAACGTTTAGTCGTTAGGGTGGTACGAAAAACAAAGGTCCCGTCTAGACCTTCGCGTACACTTAAAATAACCCTTGACAGTTGGAATTCGATATAACAGTAGGCTGTAGTACCGTTGTCGGGGCGAAAATTTCCTAATAGCAAACTGTATGGCATATGCTCATCGTCATTATCCCAGTCGGTGCAGAAAAGTAATGTCAGCGAGAAAGAGAGAGGTGGAACATCCACTCGACACAAACTAGTCATTTCGGGACTAACATATTTTCAATTGAATTTCCACAATTCGCTTGTGCGTAGGGGCTTTTACCAGTTGGGGGCAACCAGGGGCCTGGGGGAAAGCCAACGATGTTGGACAAGGGAATAAATATCAGACTGGTTTCAATTGGGAATAGGAAAAATATAAATTTAATATTTAGTACTTATCTCGCCAGATAAGTACCCATAGACAAAGTAAGAGCCAAGCAAGATGATCAATGCAATCAAAGGCTGGTCACATCATTTCATGCGCATGTCTGGACTATCACATGACAGTTGTAGCCTCAATTCTCCAATAATGAGGATAGGTCCAAAGTACTATTTTACTGAACGAAAATCTTTCAAGATGAACCGTCTGAAACAGCATCAGAATTTTTGACCTATGAAAATGCTTTTATATCTATTTCTAGGCGTAATGGCCGTGTCTGACATGACACCCAAGGCACAATCGAGGTCACGAGACCCGACGACGGCCTGTTTATTATTACCTGGACTTTGGTTCCACAAGTTTCATAAGGTATGTTGAAGGTGAGGACGGTTCCTTGTAAGATACCTGTACACGTGTCTAGAGTCATGAAGATATGAGAACTATCCTGAACATCTATATCTAATGCCGACAGATCTAGCGTTATAAGGTACCCCTGTGATAGACACTGCAGTTTCAAAATCTCGGAAACTGAAAGATTCACAATATGGCCAAAATGACATACATGTATTAATAATCAATTACCCAAACCATTAACATAATAACTTCATTTATATACATACAAACTGGGGTTTTCTTTCTAACAAAAATTTCTTAAGGGAGCTGTCGCAAATTTCGTTGATATAAATGGGGTCACGTAATATATTTTAGAAATTTCTTTATTGAGGTGGGTGTCTTGGTTATCAAGACGATCATTTACCACTAGATCATTAAGTATGTCAATTTTGAAGGCTATAGTGACTCTGGTTTGTTTATAGGTTATTATAATGGTAATGTTACACGCTGAACACTGTGGAAATTCGTAAAATCGTTTGAATTCTTGGTAATTAAACACATCAAAAATATTTTAATTTGATGGTAAGCGGACTAACCTTTGTGTGTTACCGGGGTGCTCTTATATCCAGCCACATATCCATGAGTTTGTCGAGCATTATAAACATGTACCCTGACTAAGATAGGATCCGTACTGTTGACACGGTATACTAGTCTAGTTGGCAATTCAACCACGCCTACAGAGTAAGGCACCGACGTCATGTGTTTCCACGTGATCTCTGACGGAGCAGCTCCGTTTATTTCAACTTCGTGGACACTCTCCGTATGCGATACGATGGTTACAACTAGTTGTTGGGGGCTATCAGAGCTTGTCGATTTATCCAGAGTTTTAATCATATAATTTTTTCGATATAAATCCACGCCAGGTACAATGCTTGTGAATCCACCATCAGGCACAAAAAGACAGTTGTGAATGACCAAGACCTTTTTGTCACTTTGAATGACCGCATCTTGTTCCGCTTTGAAAGTCAAGTCTTTAAATTCGCCACTATTTAGAATGATGACCCCTTTTGGCGTTTTAAGTGTGGTGTTAGAAAATGCAGCGATTATTCGCACATTCGTTTTCCACGCTGCACTTGATACTAATCTAGGCAGGATGACCAAATTAGTAAAGGCACTTGGCGGGGGCACTTGCAAGACTAAATGGGAGCTTGCATCCTGGTGATAAATTGAACCAGAGAATACAGCCACTGCAGCAGTGCTCTTTATATGGGAGCCCACCATGTCACACCTATAGTGGCGATAGTCCATTGTATTTACAGACAACTGAAACACCTCATTTTTATTCAAAATAAAGGTTATAGTATCCCCATCCTTATATAAATGTTGATGGAATGCGTAGTCACAAGTACTTCGGAACTTAACGGTAACATTCGTTCCATCGCTCGTTCCGACAATACCCATGTAAGGATTGCTATCAATTCCGGAAAAAATGTACTCATTTCCCAGAGATTCCAATGGAATGGCAGTAAACGCTCCAACAGTACCATAATAACTGAAAACATGAAGAGATACATTGGTGGAACAAAACACATGAACACCCTTCTGCTCAATTTTCCCGCCAATAGTTGTCATGGCTGATTCCGGAATCGGGACTCTGGTAAAACTGCCGGCATTAAAAGCTACAAAGTCTTCGTGCCTGATGCCAATGTCGTAACTGACATTACAGGAACCTTTCCTGAAGGACGATATGAACAAAGCATTGTGGTAGGCATCATACGGTGCATTGCCAACAGGATTGGGGAAAAATGCCACAAAGAAATCAGCACCCTGCGTATCTATTGCTGAAAAATACAACAGAAAATAAAATGATTAGACTTTATAACTATGCCAGGAATGGAATCTTTAAAGGTTCGAAAAAACTTGACAAAATAAGATGATATTGTTTTTCTATCATCTGGTCGATAACCACAACAATAGCGAGAGAGGGGGAGTGAGAAATGGAGTTTAACACCCACTCGAAACAAACTAGGTCGCTTCGGGACTAACATGTCGTTCAATTTATTTTAATAACTCGCTTAGGGGTCTTTAGCTGTCGGAGGAAACCGGAGGACCAGGAGAAAACCCACGAGGTTGGACCCACGAAATCACGTCGCATGACTCAATGACCAACCTTATAATCTAACGCTAACGAACGCGCTAAACACCAAAATAGCATAATGAATTAGGGTTTCACGTCCTAGTTTCCCGCACCGATTGGGCTAATGAAGACTGGATATCACATTTGCCATAAAAAAGCATGAGGGAGAGTCAGACCCTTAAGTTTAGTTTGAACCCGGAAACGTAATTATTCCACCACCGGTATATGGTCACATTGGAAACTATTTGCGATATTTTGTTCATTGTCGTGTTTACTTAGAAAACAACATTGGAGTCATCACGACATTCGGATTGATTTTTTCTTTATAAAGCTAGCTTATGAAGTAATATAAGAATGCAGAATGTGTTCAGTGGCGGTGAAAGGTTTATTTAGCGAGGTTGGATTATATCAAAGGGATATGATCACCCTTACGTCTTTATCAAAAAATTAAATATAACTATAAATTTATCAGATATTTTACTTTAAACAAACCGAAAGATAAAAACGGGCTTATCGTAAACCTAAGCCCTGACACATTGCGTAATTTATTAAATCAATGTAATCATAACAAGCAGATTTGTCTCGTATTTAGGCATGCAAAATCGGTTTATGGATATGGGAGCCAAGGTTACTATCTGGGTGTGGGACGAAAAACGGTCGTCCCGTCTACAATTTGTGTGCACGTTAAAGTATCCTTGGCAGTGTGAGTGGAAATGACGCTGCATGTCCGGGGCAAAATTACTCTCATGGTTCACTGCATGACGTACACCCATTTTGTCGGCGGATCCAGGATTTTGAAGGGGAGAGGGCATCAACAGGAGGTCTGGGTGGCCTAACCCATACAGTTTGAAAAAAAAAAGACGTCGTAGATGATATTTCCCCCCCATTTCGGAGCCCCCAAATTAAGCCTGAGCAGGCGTAGGGAGCAGGCGGAAACCCACACCCCCTATGGATCCACGCCGGCATCTTTATAATCCCGGCTAGTATAGAAATCTAAGCCATTAACCTCCATTTCAGGTTGATTTAAAAAATAAAATAAATTTTGTACCGGATAACGATAATGCCTCTTTAAGGTCAATCTCTTATTTTACTGCACTCACGTCTGCTACTTTTGCAATATATTTAATTTTGTATAAGCTGAGCTGATTATACGAAAAAATAAAATCATAAACAAATACTTACCTTGAACGTCAAGCATGGACAGTGCTAACAGGATTGAGATTTTTAAAAGCATGTTTTTATTGGATATGTATACGATATTCATAAACTAGAAGAGTTAGAATATGATGACATGAAAACAAGTAGGTTAAAGATAGATAATAAAATAGTAACAAAGGAATGCTATAATAATTTCATTTTTTATTCATTATCTATTATTATCTATATGATGTATTAAGTCCTTGACCTTTTTTTGGTATCAATTCGCAAATCATGTTTGAAACATAAATATGAGAGAGAGAGAGAGATATAGAGAGAGAGAGGTGGGGGGGCAGGCAGACATATGGTTACGCATAGGGACCCGGAGAAAACGCACGAGGTTAGACGGGAGATCTTACTCCTTGTCATGCACAAGCGGATAATCGAAACCACACCACGTGACTCAATAACAGTGATTTATTTGTTATGTCGTGAATGATCCTGTTCCCCTCATGTTTTGAGACATAAATGTTTTATAAAATATCTAACAGCACGATCTGGCATACTATTGATATATTATGTCGTGAATGGTCCTCTCTACTTCCCCTAGATGTAATTACATCCTGTCTCAACGCCATGGCATCCTACTGATACCCATGAAATATAAGGCGCCATGTATCCTATATTTAAAAGGCATTATGACTTTCATATTATACTGCATAAGATATGTATTATTTAGTACCTTAGACAATACATAATTCTGGAAAATGCAGCCACCGGTCTTCTTAAACTAACATGTTCTAAAGACGTTTGTACCAGCAATCGTGTACACGCGTGAAAATATTAATTAAACCACATACCTTATTAATGACTACGTGCATTTAGTTTTTATATACATGTATTTAAAAATAAACGCAAACATTCACGTTAACAACAGTTTGGTTACGTGGTTTTAGCATACCGATGAAAGGGTTGAAGGACTGGACTTAGACGGCTCTGGATTGGGTCGAAGGAGTTGTGAGTAGGCTTAAGTCCCGTCATATACTTGGAAGGAAAACTAATTACCCCACCCCCAATCAAATTCGCACTTGTCAATGCAGATTATTGCAGGTCTATCTCAATCATCATAAGCTGGGTTATTATTATGTCATCACTTTTCGTCATTGTGTTTTCGGTTTAAAATAGGCTACAATACAAATAGGATATTTTGAATGTTAAGAAAAGAGATCGACAGAATGAAATTCGGTGAGACCTTTAAGAGCACAGATTATGGAAGTTTAATTTTATATAATTTTATTACATTTCTTTTCAAATACACTTGTATGACTTTATGGAAAACCAAAGGGGTCAGTAATAGGCATTATAGATTTATGAGTTGCTTGGGGGTTGTAATATATAATTCCTGCATATTACTTATGTCTACCAACTCGTAATTGAAATTCTCGTCGGTGCCTAATGGGATATGGACATGTTAGAATATATTAACAAACTGCAAGATCATGATCAGATATAGCAAACGTCAAGCCAGACAAACGTTTTATTAATTAATACAGGTCTGTTGACATTTTGAACTAAAATCCAGTTGATCACAGAAGGTAACTTGACATGTTACATACAGGCCGTTCTGGTCATGTGGAAGATCAAACATAATAAATTTAAATCTGGTTACTTGATTTCTGGTTATAATGATCTCAGTTTCTTTATCCACAGCACATCTAGAAATATAGTAAACACAAAAACATAATATGGAAAACAATTACTATTTTGATTAAAGCGACGTTTCGTTGAGGTTCCTCTCAGCGTTATCGAGCAAATGATGATAAAAATAATACACAGGTTTATATACCCAAATAAATAAAAAAAAGGGTAATTTTCTGGAAATCTCTGTTGAACCCATGACAATTCCATAAATATCCAATAGAGTAATCAAGGGGATAACTCTTGGAATCATTGTCAGAAATCGTCAAAAATCAATTGAGTTCGGTCATTTACCAAGGTGAACACCTTCTAAAGGCCATTCATAACTGGGGTCTTTGAAATACTATTAATTAACAAAACAGTTGTTGAGAGACAGCGACAATAAACAACTACATTAAAACATGGGCCATATAAAAAACACACAGTTTCTAAAAGTGATTTCTCTTCCGATACACATCGACCTCCCGATGCGAACACAAGCTCATCTACTTTAAGTAGCTACTTTATCTATCCAGTTTCGCGCTAGAAACAAATATACAAACCCCTTCTCTATCAAAGAGTGTGACGTTGGTGGCACGTTATTCAGATGAACTGTACAGTTGTTTACAGCCATGACTATATCAAGATTTCTAGGGGCTTCAACTTGGACATACAAGGTCGATCCAATTGTTATGTCGAGTGCATTCCCTTGAAGAGGGTTCGTATAGGTGGCGTCTTTATACAGACTTATATGAACCGGTGACCCCTGTATTTGACCGGAAATGTTCGTGTGGGTTGTTGAGTTGTATTGTGGGATAATTAAAACCGAATCTGTAACTTGCGCGGCTTCGCTGCAAGCTGTATCATATTCCCATTGGATAATCTTTAAAACGTGACCGTGTGGCGCCACAGCATATTTGACAGCATTTGTGAAGTAAACCTTGCCATCAATAATCTGTTAATGAAAAAAATAACATTAGAAGAAAAAAAAACATAAACATAGATTAATTATTTCGCTACCGAATCGTCTTAAAGAAGACATACTCGGTTTTCGAATCACCGAAAGTTTTATATCGTAATTATGTTTTGAAATAATAGATCCTGTCTAAAACTGCACAGAGTGTATATTTGGGAGGGTCAAAAATGAATTATTCACGGTGTGTACGTAGTTGGTCCTACGCTCATTAGTTCAATGGCCATAGGATCGCAGCTCATTGGTCCATACGAAGATCTTGTAGTAGTAATAAAACTTCCACACCCTTGTCGCACCAAGGAAATGTTGGATCAATGAGCACAACCCTGTCAATAAAGGTGTTATTGTACACTTACCTTATGTTCAGTGTTACAGTCAGAGTTAGATGTATTAAAGGTAAGAATATCTCCATCTAGATTTCCTGTACAGGTCTCCACACCCATATAAACATTAGATATATCTTGTTTATCAACATTTAGTTGAGATATATTGATTTTAACCACGTAATAACTGGGAAAACATTGTAGATAGACCGGTTCTGTACCTGCAACCGACAGTAAATCATAGTCTCGATCATTTCCTCCTATATTGTCTCAGCTTCGACTTCAAAAATGTAGCCTAGTCAAAATGGCGCTAAATTTGTATACATTACCAAAGGCCCACGGAGTTTCTAGCATATCTTACAATTTGTTGGGTTGTAAAATGACCATCATCTTGTATATGAAATATGCCGGATACATAGTTAACTCGTGCGTAGGGGCATTTGTATGGAGTTTTATACGCGAACAACCAGACAGTCAGTAACCTCAATGACTGCCATTTTGTCCGGACTATATTCATAGATATTGAAGCGAATACAATATTTGTGGGAATGGGCAAGACGAATGTCCATCTTTGATAAGTGACTTCACAATTAAAGTTTTATTTGTTTTTAGAAATTGAAGATTAAAATTTCGTTGCTAATAATTCAATAAAACCGACCTTTATGATTAGACGAAGTGTCCTGGGGTATGTCATATCCACCAATATATCCATGAGTATTCTTCATATTGTACTCATGTTCTCGCACAAATATTGGACTTGTACTGGATATATGTAACTGTTGACCAGCGTCGATATGTACATCACCCACTGAGTACGGTGCACGGGTTAAATTCACCCAGTTAATATTGTTTGGATACACCCCATTGACTTTCAAATCTCGGATTGAGGATGTTTTTGAGATTACCGTAAGGTACGGATCTTCTTGCCGCAAATCCTTTTCTATACCTTGGATGAGGTATTGGTTTTGGTACAAGCCCTGACCTGGTACAAAAGTAGAGAAACCTCCACTCGGTCCAAAGAGACATGTCTGTGTAACAAGCACTGGAAGTACACTTATGATCACCTGATCTTCAGTAAAATTAAAAGTAAAGTCTACGAAATCTCTACTCATTAAATGTCGTGTTAGCCCAGGAAGATACAGAACTGTATAGTTCTTGGCAGCTATCACTCGAATAATGTTTTTCCTCGGATAAGAAGTTTGTATTCTCGGAGCAATCGCTTCCGTGCTAAATGCAGCAAGTGGGGGAACTTGCAAGACAAAATGGGAACCCCCATCTTCGTAATAAACAGCACCGGAAAACACCGAAACTTTAGACGAAGCTACGACGCGTGTTCCACCAAGATCGCACCCGTCTCCGGAAGCTTGATCCTGATCCGTGATTTGTAGAACATCATTTTCCTGTAGCAATACTGTTAAAACGTCTCCGTTTCCGTAAGTTATGGCGCCATATTGGTAACTACATGTACTTCTTATAAAAACGTCCACTGTTGTGTTGTCTGATGTCCCTACCACCCCGAGAAACGAATTACTCTGGAAACCAGGGACTATATATTCTTGTGATAATGATTCAGTAGGAATTGCCGTAAAATCATCATCACTTAATCCGTAAAGGGAAACATCTTTTGTACATTGAACATGGACACCTTTGTTTATTATTTTTACACCAGAAGACATGCGTGTTTTAGCCGGAAGTTCGTGTTTTGTTACCAAGTTAGGATTGAGATTTATGGTTATTTCTTGCCGAGAATCGTCGTCGTAGCTGATATTACAAGTCCCGACCTCAGGGGATGATATGTACAGGAAATTCTGATGATCGCTTGTAGTCGTAGAATCATTGTAAGTACCTGGGAAAAACGCCACATAAAAGTTCCTATGTTGAGTGTTGGCCTCTAGAAAAACAAATTTACAAGGAAACTCAAGAGAAACAAGAACTGCCATAAGTATTGGAAGAAGATGAAGTTACAATTTATACCAGATTTAAACCCTGTTTTCATATCTAGTCTACCTTTAAGTTCACGTATAAACCGGGCCCAAGGGAAACCAGGAATATTATTTTACCCACCAAAACACTCAGCGGTGGCTAATGCTCGTAATCATTGCGTCATGAGTATGAAAACGTCTTTGGAATAAAACATCCATACTTAAACAGGCATTATGCAAGACTTATATCTGCCTATTGCAGGTCTTTCTTTAGGCAATCAATTTTATATAAATTATTACTTAGACATTAATTAACTTGCCAAGACCATAAACAACTCTCGCTACGATCGGATGTTTCCGATATTAAGTAGATTTAAATACGTTTTGCGGTTGATGCGATTACCGTAAAAATGAATGTACGAGACTTTGTTTATTATCGTAACAACGGTAGCAATGCAAATCGAGGCTAATTGTATCGCCTATAGTTAGACTCCGAGTGAAGTAATTGGACTGAAATTTTAATCATATTCCCTTTTCATTATCTATTTTTTAAAACTATTTTAGCGAGAAACATTCAGCTCTTTGTCCAATCTGATTAAACACGGATTAGCCAATGAAACCATCTGATTAATCAATGTCTGATGTCATAGGGTCAAAAGCCGTTCGTACGACCTCTGACGCGACCCTTTTCTACAACCAATCAGATCTTCATGTAGTAGAGGCCATCGAAAGTATAAAAAAAAACGAAACGAAATATAGATCTGTATTTTAATCATATTTTTCCATGTTACAGGCATATGTCAGTTACCACAGCTACAGGAGCGAGATCCGTTCCCATCAATAAAAAGTGTGCCCTACGACTGCTATTTTACAAAATTCGTGTTTAAGATTTAGATATAACTGTGTTGTGTTGTTTCTAGGAAATTTAATATAACGTGTTAGTTCCTCCATATTGCAGTAATTATTGGTTTCATAAAATAGCAACATCAGACAATCCCGAGGGCACAATTTTTTTTGTTTTTTTTTTTTTTTGTTGCGATTTTGACTGAACTTGAACTATAGGTTTATATCCCAAAGATTTCGGTTCATTTCGATATTGGCATATATTGGATTGTAACGTCATGGATTATGGCCCCTGTTGCACGGCGAATCGCGTTTGTAGCTTGTGAACCCTCTAGATGTCACAATTTCTATCCATGCCATTTTATTTGATTTTAAAAAGCGTTCTAATATATTACCGTTACATCCAGTCAAATAGGCAGCTCCCCTTTACGCAAATAGTGTAAAACCATATAATAACAAGAATAGGGACCCACAAATGGTCCCAATTTTTATCTGATGTTTATATCCCCAAGATACGGGTTCCTTTCGATATCGGCTTGCACATAGGAGACAAACCACCGTTAAATTTCACTTTCTCGGTACCCACAAATAGTAGTTCGTCTATTTATAGCAATATTCTCTTTGTTTCTTTTCTCGACTTTTGCATGCCCATTGTTGTTGATTTTTGGGTCTAGAATGGACGAAGAGGGTTTGAATTAACATTTTCTGCCAGATGTTGATAGATATTTTGTTTTCCAGCAATTAATACAATTTACAGTTTATCGACGTCTAGACATTCTCACAGAACATGTAGTAGAGGCCATCGAAAGTATAAAAAAAAAACCGAAACGAAATATAGATCTGTATTTTAATCAGATTGATCTTTATTTAATCTGACCTAATGCCGCTTTAAATGAGCTACGAGATTTTGATTTAGGTCACAAGTATTGAATTAAAATGATTTTGGGTGATACGTTTATTAGTGATTGGTTCAAGCTGAAGTTGGTTTGTTTATTAATTTCAGTTTCATTTTTGGCGACAGTGGAACACAAAATCAGTTATATTTCAACATTGGCGTTACGTAAAAGTATCAATGAAGACGGGATCACACAAGACAGGAGATTTTTTGGACCCAAGTCGCAGAGGATTAGCTCTTATAATTCAACCCTATCAACTCTACATTCAGCTGACATTATAGAGGATTTGTACATCACACGACGTTAATTTGAAAATCTGTGCCGTCGATCATAAGGTCGGTCATTGAGTCAACTGGCGTGGTTTCGATTCCCCGGCTGTACGTGACAAGAGTAGGGTCGCCTGTCCAACCTCGTTGGTTTTCTCCGGGTCCTCCGGTTTCCTCCCAGTGCTAAAGACCCCTAGGCGCAAGCGAATTATTGAAATAAAATAGAATCATATGTTAGTCCCGAAATGACCTAGTTTGTGTCGAGTGGACGTTAAACTCTCTCACACTCTCTCTCTCTCTCTCTCTCTCTCGTGAAATAGTTTAAATATACTTACGACTTTTGACCAAAGTAAGAGATTTGTCCAACAACAAAGACAAAACAAAAACTGCTGCAATCGCCATGATTGAATTCACAAATAGAAAACTATATCATTATGAGAATAGACATCTGATTCTTATCAATATAAAAAAAAACAAAGTCTAGTCATTCTTACAAAGCATATCGAACTTTATGTATTGATATATCTTTATACGCCCAGGGTTATGGCTAGGGTTGGGATTAGCACTAACCCTGTTTACATCTCGTGACCTTTGACCAAACTTAAAGTTGGTCCTATGAAATAGATCTAAACCTAATCAGCGTCAGCTAAAACACATCCAACAGTCTGCTGTTCAAAAGTTCTATAATATTTATGACGATATTACTGATATATTTGGTTCAACCTAATATATTACATTGATCATAGTATTCTGATGTGGCGACCCCACTTGCTGTCATTTCGTACATTGACTTTGCTTGATATACAGCACCATCTTGCACGGTCTAATCAATATTATACGGGTATAAAAAAACGAGATACAAAACTGTCATATAAAGGCCTTAGAAACACTTTATGGATGTCCAATCAAGAGTAGTAAGATTGGTAGAATTTTTGCTCTATAAATTGATAAAAGCATTATATTAATATTATGTCCTTGGTCCATATTCATAGAGAAGGCATATACATCTTGCGCACTAAAATGAATGAGTGATATAGGTTGATATATAAAAACAATTTGTTAAATATTTTATTCTGTTTTAATAACAAATAACACGTCTGACACTCCTAGTGGAAAGTTTCCACTGTCCATATCAGGGTGGTTCTCGACGCCATGGGGCTTAGTAACCAATCCTCATAATTAATTACGTAATATTTGACCAATTGAATAATTCATAGCAAAAGTCTAGGCATATATAACCAGAGGAATTTGCGCTCTTGCGTAGACACCATGTAGATTCTTAGAGAGGAGACACGCACTGAGAGGGAGATACCGATGAGGTTGAAGAGACACCATCTGGCTTCAGAATGCCCGTTAGGTCGTTGGAGAACCATATGATGTCCGTAGCCCGTCAGTAAACTTGTTCTGCGAGATGGTTGGGTTGAGAGAGTAGAGAATGACATTTATTGTAATCTATGCTTGTAACATATGTATCCAGTGCTTGAAATAATATGTTAAAACGAACTGTTGCATTGTTGTTGCTGGTAGATAAGCGTCTTAACTACTGTGATAGTAAGGCGAAAATACACAACGTGAAAAGGAGTCCTAGCCAAAAGAAGAGAACTACAAATATAACCAGTGACGATCACAAGGCTAATAAAATCTGTAGCAGAAGAGAGTATGTGTCACACTTGGATGTGAAGAGATTTTGGGGCAATGTGGCTTTCCGCATGTAGCCGCTACACAAATCAAGACCATGCTATCTTTCTTACCCATTTCTTTAGATTTCATGGATTGAACATCCGAAAACACGGAACGAAAATAGCACAAGGTTAAAATTAGATTGCATCGTTAGTTTTAATTTTGTAAATTTGATTACATGCCAACTTCTTTTACATAGAATGGTCGTCGATTGCACTTGACATTTATATTATTCAGCTCAGAAAAGTCACTGGAGATGAGTTTGGTAAAGATCTCTACCACCAAACACCCTTCAATAGCATTTATCACATAACACATTATCAAAATAAGATCACAAAGTTCAAATTCCTGTCAACAGAAAGGGGAAGCAGATATGATATCAATTATCTAAATACGGGAAATGGTTGTCGCTGTTAATGATTACAATTTGGTGCAGGGAAACCTGGGTTTTGTGTGGGACTGAAAAGTCAGTTTAATTGTGTCGATCACTTAAATTTAATTTTAACTTTTTATAAATTGCTTTTATGAGTTGGTGTGCTTTTTTTTATCACTGTCGACGTGGGTGTAACAGTTATTCAGTGATGTCGGAATTATCTGTGGCTTTAACTTGAAGAAAGACCATAGACCCGACCACAATGTTACCGAGTTGTGTTCAGCATCTTGGTACAGTTTTGTCTTCACGTGAAATTCTTGTATCTGTCCGGAGACAGTTACGTGACTTGAAGAATTGTACTCCGGGTGAACAAGTATGGAATCTGTGTCATTTGCAGGCTTGCTACAGACACCATCGATCAGGTATCACGTGATCAGGTGACGGCGGTGCAAGCAAACACTATGTATGTGATTCTCAAAGAAAACTGTATCATTTTCTATGGTAAAAATCATTCCCCCAAAGATTCAAAATATAATCATTATTTAAACCATCTTCCTTTGACATTTCGAATGACATAAGTAACATAGTGTTTGAGATATGTTAAGCATAATAAGCTTAGTGCACGAAACCACATTGTTATTTCGTTTTTCATTTTGAGGGAAATTGGTATAGCTACAGGCCCGAGTAGTGGACGCTTACGGCTAGCCCCCGGATCCATTCACTTGATCTGATGTGTACGTTTGCCATGTCTGTATATTATTGTGTCCTGTCCGTAGATTTGTCTTGTATATTTGTTTATTGGTGTTGATAACTCCAGTTGAGTTTGATCCCGTCGAGCACTGTGTGGTTAGCAAAAGGACAATCTCAAAGGACCCACGTTGGAAAACCACTCGCAAGACCAACGTCATGATGTCCCACAGTCGTCAACGCCAAGCAACTGACCCGGCAAAGATCAAGACCATTCAGTCATCCTTTATATTTGAAAATTGCAATTATTAGACAGACTCTGGCGTGCGTTACACCATAGCGAGTTTAACTTAAAACAGCCCCCAGTGAATTTTCTGCGAAATTTGGGAAATCCATATTATTGACTTAATCACCGAGAGTTGCAGTTTTTAAGCAGTGTCATTTTTTTTGGGTTGTTTAATAACTAATGACGACAGGCCTAATTTGATACGCAACATTTTATCATTACATGCATACTCCACTGCGACCTGTTTAAGGGTCAACTTTAAAATGCAAGACTAGAGGGGAACGATGCGTTGTTGTTGTGCTTTCGGCCATTGCAAGCTCTGTGTTCCATACATTAACCGCCATATTTTCCCATGTTACAGGCATATGTCAGTTACCACAGCTACAGGAGCGAGATCCGTTCCCATCAATAAAAAGTGTGCCCTACGACTGCTATTTTACAAAATTCGTGTTTAAGATTTAGATATAACTGTGTTGTGTTGTTTTTAGGAAATTTAATATAACGTGTTAGTTCCTCCATATTGCAGTAATTATTGGTTTCATAAAATAGCAACATCAGACAATCCCGAGGGCACAATTTTTTTTTTTTTTTTTTTTTTTTTTTTTTTTGCGATTTTGACTGAACTTGAACTATAGGTTTATATCCCAAAGATTTCGGTTCATTTCGATATTGGCATATATTGGATTGTAACGTCATGGATTATGGCCCCTTTTGCACGGCGAATCGCGTTTGTAGCTTGTGAACCCTCTAGATGTCACAATTTCTATCCATGCCATTTTATTTGATTTTAAAAAGCGTTCTAATATATTACCGTTACATCCAGTCAAATAGGCAGCTCCCCTTTACGCAAATAGTGTAAAACCATATAATAACAAGAATAGGGACCCACAAATGGTCCCAATTTTTATCTGATGTTCATATCCCCAAGATACGGGTTCCTTTCGATATCGGCTTGCACATAGGAGACAAACCACCATTAAATTTCACTTTCTCGGTACCCACAAATAGTAGTTCGTCTATTTATAGCAATATTCTCTTTGTTTCTTTTCTCGACTTTTGCATGCCCATTGTTGTTGATTTTTGGGTCTACAATGGACGAAGAGGGTTTGAATTAACATTTTCTGCCAGATGTTGATAGATATTTTTGTTTTCCAGCAATTAATACAATTTACAGCTTATCGACGTCTAGACATTCTCACAGAACATAATGATCTTAAAAGATATTACTTTTATTTAATGACACTATAATAACATTAATTGATATCAGGGACTTGCTGTAGAATGAAATCATTTTCAGTTTTAAAGTTCATAAATATCGGTGTGGTTTTTTTTTTAGTATAAACAATTTTCTCTTTAAAATGCATGGGTTTAATGTAGCCATTTTCTTTACTTCATTAAGTGCACTGTTTGAGATTAATAAAACATCTGGATAGGCGGAGGGGCGTATTAGAGGAAAATGGTAAAATAGTTCAGTGAGTACTTTAAAAGAATTAAAGAATTGGTATCCCATAACTTATTATCCGATAATATCTGGCTGTGATTGATGACACGTTTGTTGGCATTTGGAAGTAAAAACCATTGGATCACAATACGTCACATCACAAGTGATGATAAATCCGTTCTGGTCATGGGGCAGATCAAACATATTAAACTGGAATCTCGTCACTTGGTTTCTAGTAATTAAAATCTTGCTTCCAAAATCAACAGTACAGCTGCAACGAAGACAGTTTAAATATATAAATCACTAACGGATATACAGTCTCTCTGTGTGGACAAGTTCAACTCAACTAATCAGCTTCCGAATAAATGATGCATATCCCGCAGTCTGCATTTCCACACTGGAAATTATGCGCGTTTAAAGAAACCCTCGATACCAAATATGTTCTTCGAAAGGCCTTCGAGACACTTCATTTTATTATCTCATCTGGTCAAGGACCCAGAACGCGCTTTTCTTAAAACTTTAATGCATTGGGCATCCGAAAACAGAGAACAAAAATAACATCCGGTTAAAAGTAGATAGCGTCGTTACATTGAAGATTGTATATGTCATGCTATGGCAACTTCTACATATAATGTTCCTCGATTGCACTTGACATTAACACGTCAGAGAAGACATTCGAGATAAGTTTCAGGAAGATCTCTAACATCACACCCTTGCATCAGTAGTATTTATCAAAATAAGGTCACAAAGTTCAAATTCCTGTCAACAAGAATTGGAAGTTGATATTAATAAAGGAGCTAAATCGCTAATATTTTGCACAAAGAAATTGACACAAATGGGTCGCACGCATATAATAATGTAATATGAATGTATATAATATATATATAGACTTGGCTACTTTAATTTTGACCTTTTAGTTTTAAAATCATTTTTATAAATTGCTTACCCATTTTTTATGAGTTGGTGTGAGGGTTTTTGATCACCATCAACGTGGGCGTAACAGTTATTCACCACCATAACGATGTCGGAATTGCCTGTTGCTGTAACTTGAACAAAGACAGTAGACCCGATCAGAATATTATTTAGATCCGTTCCTTGAAGAACATGACGGAAGCCAGCATCTTGGTACAGATCTATCTTCACATGGGATCCTTGTATCTGTCCAGAGGCTGTCACGTGACTTGACGAATTGTACTTTGGGTGAACAAGTATGGAATCTGTGTCGTGAACAGACTTGCTACAGACAACATCGAAATCCCATTGTACTGTACGTATCACGTGATCAGGTGATGGCGGTGCAAACACTATATGATTCTCAAAGAAAACTGTATCATTTTCTATCTGTTTTAAAGATAACAAAATTACTGGTCAGAATCATTCCCCCAAAGAGTCAAAATATAATCATTATTTAAACCATCTTCCTTTGACATTTCGAATGAAATAAGTAACATAGTGTTGAGTGTTCGAGATCTGTTAAGCATATTTAGCTTAGTGCACGAAACCACGGCGAAATAACTTACTGGACAGCCTTCTCCAATGCAAGACTCACTATATCCTACATTCAATCAGCGTGGACTGCAATTATTATATAAACCATTATTTAGTCAAGCCTACAACCAACTCTCTAGGTCATCAGATGGCGGAGATTTAATAATTTAATTTCAAAATGGTGAATCGGGGTTGCTAAGTCCCGTTGCTACGATAACAAACAATGTATGACACATCTTGTCAAAACATCTCGTCAACACTCATAACATCGCTCAGAACAAAGTAATTTGAATCAAATTTTCAATATATATGAAATATCATAACAAGAACGGCCAGCTCTTTATCTAAATCTTACACGGACCACGGACAGTCTGATCCAGCATGTATATAGCCATACTGAAGACTCTAGCGGCTGACAGAAATGAAATGGGGTTTTACGTTCTACTGTTCTGCTCCTACTGGGATAATGAAGATGGGCACACGCCATACAATGTGCTATGAGGAGAAATTTTGCCCTGGCAGCGGCGCTATGGCCTACTCTTATATTGGATTCCAACTGCCAAGGGATATTTTACCTGCACGCCAAAGTGTACACGGGACCTCGGTTTTTGTCCCATCCGAATGACTAGACAGCAGTCCTTGTCAGCGCCCCCCCCCCTCCTGCACCAATAAAAAAACCACGTCGGAAAATCCCGATGAACTTTCTCGCTGACAGAATATAGTACCATGTTATTGCATTTATTGCAATCTTAAAAAAACTTTTCCAAGCCGTACGAAATTTTCAGTTAAATGTAAGCTAAATAAGGTAGCTCAGTGAACGTAGGTCTACCTTGTGTCCGGTATGACAGTCAGAGTAAGATGTATTAAACCTTAAAATATCACCATCCAGAATTCCCGTACATGTCTCCACACCCATATAAATATTACATATATCATTGGTACTGACTCCCAATACCAACATATCAAATGTGATTAGGAAACTACTGGCTAAACATTTCAAGCTGTATGATTCGTCAACTGAAATATAAAACACGTTTCAGAAGTTTATGGCGCTGGTGACAATGGATACGCTGTTAATTGTGAAATCTCGAAGATGAGAGAAACTGATGCTAATGATACCATTTATGCTGACGATACCACTAGAATATATGCAGAGGGCGTTAAGAGGATGTAATGATACTTCGTACGATGTTACTGCTGCTACTTAAGATTAAGATGCTCCCGCTTCTGATGCTAGTGAAGATTCTGCCGATATTCGTTAAGATGCAACTGAAACTAGTTGCGGCAATAATGATGGTAAAATGCTACTGATAAAACCCAGCATATTGCTGATTCTAATATATAAATGATACTGAAAATAATTAAGATAATACTTATACTGGTGGCATTGAGAGTCGCGGATCAATTATCGATTGGGTATATAGGCTACTGTTGATGTTAATTATTGTATTGATCAGCATTAAAACAGGAAAGTTTAAAATAGTTCAATAATTATGTTGCTGGTGATGATTTATGATAATAAATGTTTTATAAGTAAGCATCATGTGACAAATGGAAGACGTATTTATACATACCAGAATGTTTGCTTGCTTGGTAACTATATCCACCAATATAACCATGTGTGTGAACTGAGCTATATTCATGTTCTCGCACAAAGATCGGACTCTTTGAATTTAGAATGTGCAACTGCTGTCCCGCCTTTATCGGTAGAACTCCAACTGAATACGGTGCACTGGTCAAATTCACCCAATGAATGGCATCAGGATACAAATCGTCTACCAACAAACTATGGATATCTTTAGTTTCAGAAATAATGGTAACGTATGGATTTTCTTGGCGGAGAAAGCTTGTTATTCCTTTTATAAAATAATCGTTTCCGTAAAATTCTGGACCGGGAACAAATGTAAAGAATCCACTCCCGGCTCCGAAAACACATATCTGTGTTACCATAACAGGTTTGTCACTAATAATAACATGGTCGTCGGTGAAAGTGTAATTAAACTCCATAAATTCCCCTTTATCTAAATGTCGCACTGGGGCAGGGTTAAATAAGGTTGTGTTATCGTACCCAGCAATAACTCGAATAATATTTTTCCAGGCGTAAGTTGTCTCGATTCGGGGAGCTATTGCAAGTTTACTGAAAGCGCTTATAGGGGGTACTTGTAGAACATAATGGGATGCACCACCAGGGTAATATACAGACCCAGAAAACACAGAAACCTTAGCTGTGCCCACTACACGAGTTCCACCTAGATCACACCCGTCACCAGAGGACTGATCTTCATCTGTGATTTGAAGGACATCGTTTTCTTGTAGAAGTGTCACCAAAACATCTCCTGTTTGGTATGTTATGCCGTTATATAGATAACTGCACGTGCTTTTCACATAAACATGAACAGTGGTATTGGCTGTTGTTCCTACTATGCCCAAAAAGGAATTGCTCCGGATTCCAGGAACTATGTAATTTGTGCTTAGTGCTTCTAATGGAATAGCTGTAAATACTCCATCGGTGTGGTAATAGTCCACCCCGTAAAGTGACGCATCTTGTGAACATTTTACATGTACCCCTTTATTAATGATCTTAATTCCAGCATGTATCCGTGATAGTTCGGGAATGTTCAGTGTCGTTACCGTTTTGGGGTGTAGATTAAGGGTAGTTTCGTGTCTCGTGCCGTTGTCATAGCTGATGCTGCACACTCCACCGCTATCAGATGATATTAACAATGAATTGTGGTAATTTATCACGAAATAGGAATCATACGTTTCTGGGAAAAATGCAACATAGAAGTCTTTACCCCGAGTACTGTCGCCTGCAAAAAGATTTAGTATTTTAAAGGTACATGACAAATTTCCTTCAAAATCAAGCCTTAACTCACCAATAGCTTGAAAATCTTCATGAATTCGGGACGTCTTTTCTGTCACGTTTGTAGTAAAAGTGAGTTGTTGTTTTTTTTTAAATTTTAATTAATCATTTTTTCATTTAGGTTTCTTTAACCCCCCCCCCCCACAACATTCATTTCACACCACCATCTTTATCTATCTATCTACTCTAAAGAAAGTAATCCTAATTGTGTTGTCCTTTATTGCACACACCGGTTCATTCTTCTCGGTGTATTTTTTAATACTTGAATACTTACATAATAACAGAAGACCTTACATTAAAATATTACTAACGTTTGACATGTGAACGATATGACATGGTGTGATTTTCAGGGGGTCTAAAGAAAATAAAAGAAAAGAGGATTTAAAATGTTAACTTACTAGCGGCGGTAGTGAAAGTTAGACAGGATATGATCAACACAATCTCAATGTATATCGTTACATACGCCATGGTTGTTTATTAAATTTTTCCTGGTAATGTTTTTAAGTGTGGGAATTTGCAGGTTACTGCTGATAAAATAATACCATTATATAGGTTAATATTTTTTAGGTTTAAAGTATAACGATTTTGGTATATTTGAAAAGTAGAGACACCCAAATGACACAAAAATGACTTTTTTAATTGATATTTTATAGCTTGGGGTATTTCCTCTCGAATAGAGGGATTTGAAGCAATTTTTTGATAGATTAATTAGTTCTTATATATTTTTAGTCTAAAAACATCACCCAGTTTGTACTTGGAAAGGTATCTTTAAACATTGTTTTCAGAAAGAGTAAGGACACTTTGCTTCCCACATAACACAACTGCTGATTCTGCCTGTGAAAAAAATCTAATATTTATATCGTTTGGGCGGTGAGGGTGTGGTGTCTGAAGTATATCTGAACAACTGTTTATCTTTGGCACTGATTGAGCAATATGATTATGACGTAATGGAGATCAGAATCTGCTAATAACGTTGAAAACCACACTGATCGCTTTCGATTTGAGGTTACACCAGCGGCTGCCAGGCAGGATACGCCCACATTTTCGAGAGATGGATAGAGAACAAGCTAAAAAGAAAGTGATTTTCCCTACAATCAAGGGCCATAATTCAGGAAATTACATTTCGATATGCGTAAATATCGAAAGGAGCCGAGATCTTTGGGTTATAATCTTACATTTCAAGTTTCAACAAAATCAGATAAAAATTGTGACCTCTATAGGGTCCACAAGCTTGATATACCATATTTTTACGCTATTTGAGAACGAGGGGCAGCCATTTTGTCTGTCAGTTTTAGGCCGATTTTCAAGAAATTCGAACTCAGTCGTCGTTAGGGTGTAACGGTGATATAATAATACGTTTTTTTTTAAATCGGATAAAAATTATGACCTCTATAGGGTCCACAAGCTAAAAACTCGATTTTTCCTACAATCAGGGGCCATAATTCAGGAAGTAACGGTCCGATATGCGCGAATATCGAAAGGAACCGAGATCTTTGGGTTATAAACTTACATTTCAAGTTTCAACAAAATCGGATAAAAATTGTGACCTCTATAGGGTCCACAACCTTGATATGCCATATGTTTATGCTATTTGAGAACGAACGGCGGCCATTTTGTCTGTCAGTTTTGGGCCGATTTTCACGAAATTCGAACTCAGCCGTCCTTAGAGTGTAACGGTGATATAATAATACGGTTTTTTAAATCGGATAAAAATTATGACCTCTATAGGGTCCACAAGCTAAAATCGCGATTTTTCGTACAATCAGGGGCGTAATTCAGGAAGTTACATTCCGATATGCGCGAATATCGAAAGGAATCGTGATCTTTGGGTTATAAACTTACATTTCAGGTTTCAACAAAATCGGATAAAAATTGTGACCTCTACAGTGTTCACAAGCTAAAAACGTGATTTTTTGTACAATCAGGGGCCATAATCCATGAAGTTACAGTCCGATACATGCCAATATCGCAAGGAACCGAGATCTTAGCGTGATAAAGCTATATTTCAAGTTTCATTGAAATCGGATAAAAATTGTGACCTGTAGACTGTTCACAAACAATTGTGGACGGTTAGGGGCGACGACAATATGTGGGCGTATAATAAAAACTCTAACCCTATGACGCAAAGCATCCCGTGACACAACTTCTGGCAGTCAAATGTAACGATAGTTTTAAACGAAGTCTTCACAAGATGAAGTTACTGGTTAGAACAATCCAGTGGTCTTAATATAAAAATGGGGAGAATGACCTTTATCTTTGAACTGTTGGTTGGTGTTGATGACTGATGGTCATCATGACCTTTATCTTAAAAAGACGGTGTGACTTGTAGTAACTACTTGTAGTATCTACATGTAGATTACAAAATCGTATATAAATGAGTTGATACGACTTGGAATCTCGTCTTGTCTTAGCATAATGGCGTCATCAAGCGACGAAGAGACGCTGGCTATTATTGCCCTACATTTGATAAATAAGAACAAAAAGAAAAAGAGAAAACCAAAATCCATCTGGGTTAGACTAATAATTGACAAAATTCTCTGTCTCAGCTTTGCTGAGCGGCTCTTGATGGGTGCGCTTCGCGTCCATGTTTACCAACAACAAAGGGAGAGAACTCGTGTTTGTACTAATACTCGAGGTCTCTGATTGGTCAATTTCATACGATCTGTTAACTGAAATAGGGAAGTTTCTATTTCGCTCAACTCGCTTTCAACTCGTTGGGAGCTTGTAAAAGTTGGTACGACTAGGGTGTTCTCACGCTGCATCTCGGGTCGATACTACAAGTAGTTACTACAAGTCGCACCGTGGGAATGGGCCTTTAGACCGTTGGTCGTAACCTTGACCCAGTCGAGCACTGTATGGTCAGAAAACAGTCGATCTAAAAGGAAGGAAGTAATAGGAAGGTCATGGTGTCCTGTAGTCATCAACACCAAGCAACTGCCAGGGCTAAGATCAAGATCAATAAGAACTTATTGATCGAATTGGTGTTGGGCTATTATTAGTTATCCTATCCATCTGAAAATTCAAGTCTCTAGACTACTGGAAGTACTGGGTGTACGAAAGTGTAGTAACGACAAAACTGTGTCGTAGGATACCATTTTGGGAGTTGAACCCCCAGTTTATTGTACAAACGATTTTTTTGTGTATTTAAAATGTCCCAAGAGAGTCTACTTTGAAATATTGGGAGTATATGTCATTGGCTGAGGGTTACAGTTTCTTTGGGGGGGGGGGGCAATTATTAAAAAGCTTGAAACACATTTGACATTGCAAAGTAATCTAGATATCGGTCATTTTCATAATGCAGGATAAGACCTGAAAAATGTGCATGAACCCAGAGTCAGATTAATTTTGCCCAGACTGTACTATTATATGAACACATGACTTCAGTTTTTCCATCCCATCCGAATGACTTGACACTCTTTTCTGTCAAGCCTTCCGTTCTGCACCACTGACAATTAGAAAACATGGTGAAAAATCAAGAGAAATGTTTCATGGCCAACACTGAGATCAACCCTGAGATCATCCCGGTGAGTGAACCAGTGCCTTCGTCACTGACATCACCCCCTGAGATCATCCTGGTGAGTGAACCAGTGCCTTGGTCACTGACATCACCCCCTGAGATCATCCTGGTGAGTGAACCAGTGCCTTCGTCACTGACATCACCCCCTGAGATCATCCTGGTGAGTGAACCAGTGCCTTCGTCACTGACATCACCCCCTGAGATCATCCTGGTGAGTGAACCAGTGCCTTCATCACTGATATCACCCCCTGAGATCATCCTGGTGAGTGAACCAATGCCTTGATCACTGAGCCACTGTGGCTCCAGCTCCAGTATGCAGTGACAACTTCCCACTATACTTTCATTTATTCTCACAATTTGCAAATTATGCCACTTTTAAGCTTTGGGCTATAATATTCACAGATCTGGTGGTATATTAAAGATAGCAATGTAACTTCGGTCCGAGTTTTCTAAAAGTTGAAGAAGAAAAATATCATAAACTTTGCATAAATTACTTTATTTATTCATTTATTTATTTGAAGATTTTTTGTGCAACCGTTTAGATGATAAATCCTCAAGTCTTTTGTCTAATTTCTTTTGTAAATGGGCTTTCTTCTCTGGATCCGGTTTTCTATCTGGAACTCCACTACCGCGATAAATTACACCTTCGCGTACAAGGGTTTTTCTAGCGGCAGATCTTGCCTGATCACCGCAACCATGTACTTCAGGAATATAATGATGAAAACAAAACCTGCTTGAACAAAAGTCACACGTTTGACCTAAAGTCAAAGTTAATTCTTTACATTTCGGAAAGGCACAACGCTTATCAAGTTTGGACACAGTTTCTAATAAGGCATCTAAATCATTTGGATCGACTTTTTCCAACGCTTTACTTGTTCGATTTAAATTAATGTTTTCTTTTTTGGTAAGTACTTTATGATTAGAATTTTTTTCTTTCTTCTTGGCAGGTTTAATTGAGGCACTTTGAGATGTTTGTTGTTGTTTCAGCTGACGATAACAATGAAGTTCGTGTAATTCTATATTAGCAGGAATAACATCCTTATTACAACGAAGACAGGTTATTTTATCGCTTGGCTTTCGTAAGCTTACATTATTCTTTACAGTAAGTTTTTCATCCAACACCTTCTCATCTTCCATCTTGTTTCTTACAGAAATTTCAACCTTATTTTGAGAATGTTCCTCTTTTACAGAGCTATCTTCCACTATGGTGGAGTTATTTCCCTTTTCTGTTCTTTCATCCATTTCAGGTATTTCATTTTGATCACTTATTTCTGAATTCGTCTCTTCATTTATTCCAGTTGATTTCGTTGTTTCAGTTTTATCAGTTGATATATTATGATTCTTGTTTTCTTTTTTAACTTCAATATACCGATCTTTGCCATCACCTTTACTTAAATGTACTAAACCTAATGCATCAGAAATCTGTGGGAAAAAAAAGAATATATAACTAATCTAATAATATCTACAACATTTAATTGTTTTAATGCTATGTATCACAAAGTATTTATCTATATCACAATATGACTACTTTATATCACAATGTGACTGCTCTATACCACAGGGGAGTTGGGTAACCGAGTTTTCGAATGTGGACGCTTTCAATCATAAGATATGTCATTCTCTCAAGTCACACAGTTTCAACCCCAAATTTTTACATGACAAGGAGTAAGTGTTCCTCCTTTTCCTGCTCTATATCACAATTACCGATTGCTGTACAATGAACCATGGTTCTATATCACAGCATCATCTTCATCCACAGTACCATTGCTCTATATCACAACAAAAGGACATGTCGGGCTACAACGCATGCATCGATTGAATATAAAAATATCTAAATCAACCATGACAGCTGACACATATTCACTGTGTTTAATTACTGAATTCTGTGACACTCGATTTCAATTCTATGAATTCAGAGCATTCAGGACTGATAATCCAGTATCCACTATGACAACCGGATTGATTTAGAATCACATCTAGCTATATATATATATCACAATTTAAAAAACACTTCTTACCTGATGTATCAAAAGCCGATCATGAGAATTTAAATTGGAAGGAAAAGATAAAACTGATCTAGTCTTATCGCTGTTAAACTTCTCTAATTTAATTCTAAATTCTTCTTCTTTCTTTTTGTCATCTTCTTCTGTATTTTTACTCGGTCTGAAATCATAATAAATATAAACTACATCAAAATAATGTTTTAGTTTATAAAAATGGTAACAGAAATGAAATTAAATGAGGTTTAACGTACTAATGTTCTGCTCCGGCTGGGCTAATGAAAACAGGCATACAGTGGCGCTATGGCCTACTCTTATATCAAATTAAAACTGCCAAGCGATCTTTTACGTACACGTCAAAGTGTACACAGGACCTCAGTTTTTTTGTCTCATCCGAACAACTAGACAGCTGTCCATGTGAGGCCCTCCGTCCTGCACCACTGACACGGGGAAACCACACCGGAAAAAATAGTAACAGTCCCAGTGGTTGCCTATAAAATTATGCATAGAATGGTTTATGGTTTTTAGCCTTAAGGTTTCAAAATTATGTTTAGCAGTTAGGTGTTATGCCTAATAATAAGAATGAATTGGATGGGATACAAAAGAGACATAGGACACACATATCTGTAAAAGATGCCTAGACAAGTAGACTAAACTTTCTCTTCTCTTAATGGTGTTTAACATCTCATATTCTCATCTAGGTCATTTTGAGACTAACAAAACTCTTTTTTTTATGTCAAAGTGTCATTTTCACCTTCTCTTCTTGTAATTCCAACTGCCAACAGAATGTTTTTGTGTTTAACCAATTTTTACAATCTCAATTTTTTATCCCATTCAAATGACCATACACACAGTCCAAAACCCTGAAGAATCTTCTCAGTCCATGCAAAGATTTGAACCTAGTACATTCTGGCTGTGAACTAATAAAAATCAGCACTATGAAAGTTTTAAAATGACCTAGCTTATATAGGCTTTAGTTTATAATAAAAACAGTTTAAGATTTGCAGCATTTATATCATAAAGTAAATCATTTTTACTCACATTTTTCTATCTTTATTTTTCTTTTCAGTCTTTTTTTGTTCTTGACCAGCCTGTACTTGTTTCTTAGGATGAGATGTCACTTGGTGAATTTCACCAGCTGAAATTTATATAATTTAATATAGAATGAAATTTACTCATTTACTCTTCCATTAACTATTAATTCCTAAGCAACAAATATCTGTGTTGTCCAAGTCATAATGTCACAGTGGTAACATCGAATGCTGATTTTACTACTTGAATAATTAATTAACTGTTTGGCCATTCCTGGAAATAATGATTTTAGCAACCTGACATATATTATAAATATCATTAACAACACTGAAATATGTCAAATCTCTGCAGGACAAAATGACAAGCAGCAGAGCAAATGTGCTTGGCAAAGCCTGACATTGTGCCTGACAGATACCTTATTTCCAGGCTTCCTGGGCAGTAAAGAACACACAATTGATAATATAACAATGCCCATAAATTTCAAATATATATCGTGTGATAACTTTTGGTATCAAGGGCAATAACTTGAGCAGTAAATATCAGAAGTCATTGAAATTCAACACACTTAAGCCTAAAGAACTTTTAACAATACTAATAGGGTGTACACAAGAATCTGAACAAAGAACAAGTTAAATTACCTTCTATGTATTGATGTGCCGACCAAACCTCTCCATTTTCATTAAAATATTCCACCATAGTTTTTAGAAACTTATCATGACTAACAGTCTCTGTATCACAAATAAGGGCAAGATGACGTCTGGCTCGAGTTACAGCCACATTCATACGACGATTCTCGGCTAGAAAACCAACATCACCTGAAGCACAATATTCAAAAGCAAACATGAAATATATTTCAATTTACAAAAATAAAAAAATTCTAGAATAACTATAGTTATCTGGATTTAATATCAAAAGACGTTTTACAATATTGACATTTATCTGTAAAGAAAATTGTGTGCGAATTAGTTGAAGTAACTCAAACTAAAAGCCTCTAAGCAGTATTTTAGTGTAGACAGTTTTAGAAAAAAGTCAGTAATAAATGAAATGAAATAAAATGGGGTTTAACGTCCTACTCCTAAACTGGGCTAATGAAGACGGGCATACGCCATACAGTGTGCTATGAGGGAAATTTTGCCCGGGCAGCGGCACTATGGCCTACTTCCAACTGCCAAGGGATCTTTTACATGCACGTTAATGTGTACACAAGACCTCAGTTTTTCGTACCATCCAAATGACTAGACAGCTGTACTTGTCATTCCCTCTGTCCTGCATCACTGACAAGAGGAAACCCCGCCGGAAAAAATCAGTAATAAAATTAACTGTTTTCCTTATAAATAAATTCCTATAAACATCCGTCATGAGATGTTCCAAGTCAAACTAACTAAAATTTGTTGCTAAATTTTGGAATATTCAGGAAACAAATCCATTGTAAAATCACTTGTATGTATAATTGGATAATATAAATAATACAAATACTATACAAATTTTTCAAAAACAGCCTGCTTAAAACACAGATCATATTTTGTTTTGTTTTGTTTTTTATAATTAAAATATTATTTTATTAGTCTTCAAGACATGGCAATCAGGAAGGATTTTTAAATAAAGAATTATGCTGAGATGTTATTTTGGGATAAGAGATTTAAAGAAGATTAATATAAATAGTTTAATTCATTCAGTCTAGTTCACCTATATAACCCCTATAGTCATCTCTCCCTTGTAAACCGGTCTATAAGAAGTAGAGACCATTATAAGTGTAAAGAAAAGAAACCAAATTTTGATTTTTACTTCAATCAGACTGGTTCCAAACAAATGATTTGTACTTACTTCAGGGGCGTAAAAATTTTTTTGAATCCACTAGCCCAGGGCTAGTAGTCCACTGTCAGGCACTAGCCCGGCATTAATATCCACTAGTCCATAGTTTGACAAGGTACAAGATTTAATCTTCAATATTTTGGCATATGTTTTGTTGCCTGCCAACCTATTGTTTTTAATAAAGATCGTAGACTTGATTGCCTAATAATTAAGGATGTATACGCTACTCGGTTAACCGGTTGCACTGGTGAAACGGTTAAAAAAACTACAATCCGATATTCGTTTTCATATCATATCTGACCTTCAAAACCAGGAATGGTAGTCACAACAATGTTTTCTTTCACTAAAGACCATATAAATACTTCATATATAGCACATGTCATTTATAATATATCACGGTAAATTAACGTACTTTAATTCCCACTCGAAGATTTGTATATGTTACGTTATTATTAGCACTTACTGCAAAGCCCAAGATAGCCTCGACTGATTGACAAATTAATTGTTTTACCGTATTTATTTAGCTGGTCACTCTATAAAGAGTCTCAAAATGAAACAAATCAGTTTGATGTGCTGATATAAAATTAAAATAGACAGGATTGTAAAATTGTTTATGTTATCACTCGAATGCAATGCTGCGTGCCGATAGGGTCACTGGAACCATTCATCATGGCGTGTGTGTAATGAACATGTGTAGTAAATTCTTTGGAAATACCTGACATGTTAAATAATCAAAATTATCTTGTATTTAAAAATACAAAGGTATTCTTTCAAATATTTATGTCAGAACTAATCTAATATAAAGTATAAATGAGTCTTTTGTTTTTAAATCAACCTGATTTCAACTGGTTTATACTTGTCCTGTCAAAGCGTGCAAGGAGAAATGAAATGTCAAGAATGAATGAATAGAAGGGGTATAAAAAATGTCCATATGGCTCTAAGTTTTACTACAGAAAATCTATTGTTATGATTGAGTTTTCCTTGGAATTTGAGAAATAAAAGTGGGATGTTTTACAGCTTATTTATCTATATCGTCACTAGTTTAATTCACAAACAGGTAAAAGGGCACTAGCCCAGGACTAGTACGGCTAAATAGATCACTAGCCCGTAAGTTATTTTTGGTAGCCCCGGGCGTCGGGCTAGTGGATTTTTATAACCCTGCTTACCTTTAGAATTGCTTCTAACACAAGTAATTATGACAGCTTCTTTCTCTCTACCTTGAAATCCATCCACTGATTTTATTTCTAACTTAGGATATTTACTTGATAACAGACCGCGTAATATATCTACCTGAATAGATAAAATAAATAATATATTTATTAACATGTCATTCTCAAATCTTAAACTCAAATGGTATAGTGTTTACCTAGATCATGACGTAAATCAAACAAGAATCTGTGGGAATGCTACTGTCAAAATTCACTTCTCTCCTTTTTTGGCATGTAAATATAGTAAATAGAAATAATTCTCAAATTCAAATGGAATAGTGTTTATCTAGATCATGTAGATACTAGCATAGTTTTTTATATTTACTTTATTTACATGCAAAATGGGGGAGAAGTGAATTTTGACAAGACAGTAGCATTTACGCAGGCTCTTGTTTGAATTCCAACTGTCATGCAGTAGCAGATTTAAATGAATAGAGGCCCAAGGCTATTATACTTCTGAGACCCCCCGCCCCCAAAGTCCCCCATGACTAAAGGTAGATGAAAGTGTGTTTTAAACACAATTGAGCAAAGTCGAGGATAAAGACCGATGTTTAAGACTTGCAGTGTGTGTAAAAAATATTGTACACCTTGGCCAGATGCCCCTAGATCTTAAGGCCCTAGGCTTCAGTTTGCCTAGTCTATAGGTAAACCTAGCACTGCTGGCATAGGTTTATATAAGTCCTTGCTAATGTTTACACAGATGGATCTTGAATTTGACCAAACAAACAACTAGGCACACAGGTGTTCCCCCTGACAAATTCAACTACAGTGGACTCTGGTCTCTGATCACTCCGGATTGCTGTGACATCCGGTATGATTTTCATGTCCCGATTTATTTCCTTATTACTTCAGCAAAAAAATCGCTGGTAAATCCGAATTCTGTATGTTCCGGATTCCGAAATCAATCAGCCGTCCCGTCATATAATTTCCATTGAATCGACACTGTATAATCCGTACTTTAAACGGTGGGTGTGAAGCATCCAATTATCGGTGAGATTAAAACACAATGGGTGTGAAGCCAGAAAAGATTAACAAGTAATCACCAATCAATTATCGGTGAGATTAAAACTCGCAAGAGCCAGTCTGTGTTGATTACTTTGATCGGTAAAGCAGTTAACCCGAGATGTTTTAAGGGAGTGGACAAGATCAACCTGCCAGTCAATTGGTCGGCCAATCGCAAAGCTTGGATGACAGGTGCCGTTTACTTTGATTGGCTTGAAAAACTGGACATAGAACGACAGATTATGAATGAACACGTAACAGAGTGGACAATTGACTGAAGACGGGGACGATGAAGAATATACATTAACGACAGACTTGACCTATTCAAAATTCCTACGCATGCTCAACGACATTAAACACTTCGCACAGATTAAGGACGAAAAGTTGATCGCAACAATTCATTTGTTAGAAGATGTTGCCCAGGACCCCGCCTTACGATATGCTTCCGGTAATCTTAAGCAAACTACTTTAAACGATTACATGCATTGATATTTATAAATATATTGTACGCATGCATTGATATTACATGTAAACGATTTTATGAATATATTGTACGCATGCATTGTTATTGTTAATTATTTAATATAATAAAAGTACAGAAAAGTTTATCATTTATAAAGGGAATAGCATTCTGGTGATTCAAAGCTACAATATAAAAATACTTCCGGTTTTCGAAGTTACAGTATTTCCGGTTTTGGAGAAAGCTCGGTATTCCGAAACGCTGTGGGATCCGAATTATTGTAACGATCCCGTACGATGTCGGATGTGACAGAGTCCACTGTACAATAATAAAATGATCACCTAACATCAGGGTTGTTTATTTAGTGATATTTCTCCCTGGCCCTACATGATTACCTGTAAATTATAAGGGGCAATAACTGCTATCTCATCTGGTTTCAGACCACATCCTACCAACTTCTCAACATGACTGGCTACAATGCCAGCTTCACCTGTATACAATATTTTCACAATAAATTAATTTCACAATATGGTATTATCTTTTTTCTCATTTCAAATAACATCTAATGATTATGATAAGTATCAAATCACTTTCCTCCATTATTGGGAAGCAATGGGTCATACATACTTCAAATAGTTTCCAATTACCAGTACTATAAATTTTGCATAAATAGCAGCATTTTTGCTTACACTTCCTCGATATCAACCTGTGACCGATTCTTTTATGTGCATGCCAATATAAACACACATGGACCTTGGGTTTTTTTGGGGTTTTTTTTTAATCCAATCGAATCAATGTGCAGTGATGACCAGGCTTGAAAAATTATGACGGTTATTTTCCACCTCCACAGGGAATTGAGCCCAGATCTATCTAGTTGATAATCTACTGCCCTATTTGCTAGACTTCTGAGGTAGCTGGGTGCCACAGGCAAGTTATTTAAATTTCATATGTGTCTTGAATTCTCAATAGGCCTAACCTTCATTTCCTTTTGATATTTCTTCTGGTAAATCCAGTTCAAACAAGTCACAGCCTGCTGTATCAATTAACAGAAGTGGAATTTCTGTCTCTTCTGATTGGTTTACATGAGGTAGATCTCTAAAATACATGATATACATAAATATAATAACACCCCTAAAAAACATCATATAAATATAATTACTACCTAGAATGTATCATTAACAGTAGATTATTTCTTACCAAAATATTCCAAGGGATTCCAAGCTAAAAATACATTTTATAGTAATTTTAAAATAAAGTTAAATTTATTGAACAAAACTGTTAAACCTACTTTAGTAAGTGAAACTTAACAGAGTCATGTGCTGATAATTTTCCCTCATAAAGTTGATCAGAAGACCATTGCATGATGGCTTCATTCATTCTGTACTGAGTAGTTAACATACGCACAACTTCATCCCGATGTGTCTTTAGAACTCGTTCCATTAATGTTTCACCCAGGCCTTCTTTTTCCGCCCTAGAATACCACAGGGTAAAACAAAATTAAATACAAAATCTATCAATTACTTTATCATTGATAATGATTTAATCAATATATATTAGCAATGTTTATTATAACTCAAACGAGTATTTAGAGTATAAAAACAAGCTTAAATATGCTAATAAATATTGCTTATTTATATTCACTTGATACAACATTTTATACAAAAGTCATGAGTCCCGGAAATGGCAGTTTTACTGTACCTGTTACAACTGAAACTGATACAGACAATTTTGACTTTGGGTCTGACAATATCAAAAAAAAACCTCAAGAAAAACACAATAAAGAGGAAACTTGTGTAAGCTCACAAATAAGACACTTTGGCGATTTCTCCATAATTATCTTATCGTGGCAAATATTGAATTCTGAATAAAAAACCTACAACATATCAAGACTTAAAATTGTGATCACTAAACCAAGTTCTGGTTTAATGCTTATCTGGTGAATTATAATAATTTATAAATTCAATTGGACGTACTGTTTGGAGAGAATTGTAGGTGGAAGCTGATGATGATCTCCAGCTAAAATACATCTTGGAGCACGCAACAGGGCAATCCAACATGCAGCTTCTAAAGCCTGTAAGCAAATAACCCTCCAGAAATCATTTACATAATAACCTACTGTTTCTATAACATTTTCATAAGGTGGGACCTAGTCACCGCTTAATCACACATTGTTTAAACTTTATGTGGAACCTGATTATGGACTCTAAATTTATTATTACAATAGTCTGTAATAGAAATGGGCACAGGAAGTAAGTGAACCTAGTGAATAGAAACAAAAGGGTTATATGGATCAAAGGTCATTTGTTATACAGAGATATTTGTTTATTGTTTTCAGATGAAACGATGGGGCAAACTTATTCTTGTATATGAATTTTCAAAAAAAGGAAATACTTAGTAGAAGTAAAGAACATCATTTATCCAGATTATTATGTGCAATAATAAAATCATACCAGGTTATTATGTGGTATAATAACCGTATACTATTTTATTATGTGGAATAATAACCTTATACCAGGTTATGGTATATAATAAAGACCCTGCATACCTAATATGGTGTTATTATTGAAAAAGTTCAACAGATATTGCCGACATAAAACTAACCTGTGAATTCTCATCAATAACGACTAAATCAAAATGGCCTTTATCTATAAATTTAAGTGGACCGTCATCTGTTGCACTTGTTAAAGTTACCAATACGACATCAGCTTTGGTTAGAATCTCTTTTGTAGCTGTCGCTGCACGCTGTCTCAATTCCTTACGTAGTAATTTTACCTCTTCTTTCAAACCCTGTCTAGCACCCTTATTTCTTGCTGTTTTCATTTTAGACTGAAAAAAATGCACTGAATCAGACACAATTTACTATCCCGAAATCATATTTACCTTGAATCTAATGGTGTGTTCTAATTATATTGTGTTTTATTTACAAATGACTAACACTTAAATTTCCAAATCATATTTACATTGAATTTAATGCCATGTTCTAATTATCTTGTGTTAACGGTATTTACAAGTTACTAACCTTTAAATTTCCAAATTATATTTACATTGAATTTAATGCTGTATTTTAATTATCTTGTGTTAACAGTATTTACAAGTTACTAACCTTTAAATTTCCAAATCATATTTACATTGAGTTTAATGCTGTGTTCTAATTATCTTGTGTTAATGGTATTTACAAGTTACTATTCCATTAAGTTACAAGTGATTTCCAAGCATATTTGCAGTGAATCTAATGCTGTGTTCTAATTATATGATATTTACAGTAATAACAAGTTACTAACCATTAAAACTAGATTACTTTCAAAATAATATATTTTCAAAAGATATTTCAGCACTCGAGTTTGCAAGACGAATTATACCATGTTAAGAGCTTGTAAATAAAGACATCATTCATGCAAGACTACTAGAAACCTATAATTTTTCAGTCCTAGCTTTTAAATATCCTGAATTTTAAATTGTTTGGCAACTTACCAGAGCTTTGTCAAGATCTTTTCGTACATCTTCAACTATCTTTGTTTCTTCACTATTGGCCACAATAGCATCTAAAGCGTATGGTTGTATTGAGGGTAATAATCGTGCTGGATGACCTATTCTAACAATCTTTTTTTTGTAACTGGACAATCTTTCTACCAGATTATCTACTGCAATATTTGATGGGGCACATGCCAATACCTGAAATAAGAACATCTGTGTGAAAATTTAAAATACAAATACGGAGGTGTTCAGAGAGTTTGATTTGCTTAATAGTATAAATGAAAGATGGGTTGCCAGGCAACGAAACATACGCCCACAGCAGCTAAATCGTCCGGGCAGTCAACAAAAGTTGTCGCATATTTTTACTTTTTTCGGTAATAAAACATTTATAATACACTAAAATCTGATTAAGAGCAACAACTCAGAAAACCATTAGAATTTGTTTGGTTTTTATAAAGTTCTGACCCATGCTAACGTTTTGTATACAAAACTTTTAATATCATGGATTTAGCTGTTCCAAGTCATAAAAATTCATTGAAAATCAATATACTTGTTCCTCTCAAGATCTTAAACTCTGTGTATCAATCTGACGTAAATCGGATGATAACTTTAGCCTTCAGAGCGTCACAAGATTTTGCAAAGTGATCAAGGGCCATAACTTTGGCAGTAATTATCGGAAATCAGTGAAAATCAATAGGATTTTTCGTCTCATGATCCTAAACACTGTGTATAAATTTAAGGTCAATCGGATATTAACTTTGGCCTCTAGAGCGTCCACAAGATTTTTTGAAGTGATCAAGAGCTATAACTCTGGCAGTAATTATCGGAAATCGCCGAAAATCAATAGGATTCTTCGTCTCATGACCTTAAACACTGTGTATGAATTTAAAGTCAATCGGATATTAACTTTGGCCTCTAGAGCATCCACAAGATTTTGCAAAGTGATCAAGGGCCATAACTTTGGCAGTAATTATCGGAAATCGCTGAAAATCAATAGGCTTCTTCGTCTCATGACCTTAAACATTGTGTATAAATTTAAGATCAATCGGATATTAACTTTAGCCTCTAGAGCGTCCACAAGCAATTGTGGATGCCGGTCCGCCGGACGGACGGACGGGGGCGACGACAATATACGACCACATTTAAATGTGGGCGTATAAAAATGAAATGAAATGGGGTTAAACATCCTACTGCTCCGGCTTGGCTAATGAGGACGGACATATGCCATACAGTGTGCTATGAGGGAAATTTTGCCCGAACAGCAGAGCTACAGCTTACTCTTATTTCAAATTTTGTCAAGGGTTTTTTACGTGCACATTTAAATGTGGGCGTATAAAAATGAAATGAAATGGGGTTAAACATCCTACTGCTCTGGCTTGGCTAATGAGGACGGACATATGCCATACAGTGTGCTATGAGGGAAATTTTGCCCGAACAGCAGAGCTACAGCTTACTCTTATTTCAAATTTTGTCAAGGGTTTTTTACGTGCACACCAATGTGTACACGGGAACTTGGTTTTCATCCAATCCAAATGACTATACATTGTCTCTTGCCAGGCCCCACGTCCTACCACACTGACAAGAGGGAAGCTCAACAGTTATGATTATTTACAGGGTTATCGGGGCATTTACAAGATGTGGCATTTCATAACTTTTTGCCAACCTCACATGAAAACTGTAAGTTTGCATTTCTTTGAAAACTTATCACAAAATTTCAGATTGGATAAAGGTTTAAAAGAATTCTACGCACATATTAACCAGTTTTATTCATTAAATATATCAGGGACCTCCCCTTTTAAATTTACCTTAAGACCTTGTTTAACAGCTTGTAATATAACTTCTATTACTGTGGTAGTTTTACCTGTACCTAAATACAAAATAACAATACCGTTTACATTAGAGATTTTACTCAGTGTAGGTATGCAGGAAGTTGAATCTTTGTGAGATAAATTTGACAGTTTGATTCAACATGTGAACTCAGAATAATTTGTCGTCATTAATATACTTTCAATTATACTAATTGTTGAATATGGGCCTAGGACATCTGCCCCTGGATTATTTGCCCCCCGAACATATTGTTTATAATGAATAGTTTCGGGGTATCAGTCGATGTGTAGTGTAAGTCTAATTGTCATATTTTACAGTTTTTCGGACCCAAGTAGAAGCAGTGTATAAGGAGAATGTATTTCAACATGGTAGCAATCTTTTATTTGAGTTACAGGTCTGTTATCCTAGTCTAATACTGTGCCGATGTACGTCAAGAAAAAGTAGCCCATAACATTAATTAATGAAAAATAACTAGTTGCTAAATTAGGAGTAACTTGAGTAACATTCCAAGTTGTGTTCTACTTCTAGGTTCATTTGAACCAGTTTTGTTTTAGACGATAGCATGCGAGTTGAATGCTATATTAATTAGCAGACGATATAACTCAGCATCGTGGAGCAGAGGTTTCTGACAAAGCATTTTTTGGGATGTCATTTTTACCTTCGTCCATAAATAAGTCGAAGTATAAGACGAAAGCTAGACTTCCGAGGCAAAAAGTATCGACTTTTAACCCGAAAACAAAACACGGTAAATAATATGTTTTAAAAGTTATTTGTGGGCAACTGTTCTGCTCCTGTTGAATATATATGTTAATTTTGAAATACTGATAGTTTAAGCTGCCACATGACTTTCACTTCAAAATAATTTTGCGGTACTTTCAACATTCTTATTACCTATTGTTTATCTCTCTATAACATTATTTTTGTAGCCAACAAAATGTTGTATTTGAAATCTGGAGGATTGTAAGATTCGCTATGTTTGTAGATGGCCATAATAGAGTATGTTTGAATGCCACAGATAGACAGGACTTGACTGGTTTTATAAATTAATAACAAGATAGTTTGCCAGGCAACAAAACATACGCCCACAGCAGCTAAATCGTCCGAGCGTTCGACAAGGGTTGTCGCATATTTATTCTTTAGTAGGTAATTAGGGGCATTTAATAGACAATTTCATACACATGACATTATAATTTTCGTCGGTTCACAAGGTTCTAAAAACTAAAACAAGGGCCATAACACTAGAAGTAATCTACAGAAATTGTTGAAATTCGACAGGCTTTTTCGTTTTATTAATTCAAATAATGCATATAAATTTCATACAGATCGGATGATAACTTTCGTCGTTCGAACGTTCACAAGGTTCAACAAAGTAAAACAAGGGCCATATCTCGAGAAGTAATTGACGGAAATTGCTACCATCCTATAGGCTTCTTTATTTCACTAATTTAAATGATGGATATAAATTTCATACATATTGGGTGATAACTTTTGTCGTTCGAGCGTTCTCAAGATTCAACAAAGTGAAACAAGGGCCATAACTCTAGATGTAATTAACGGAAATTTGCTGAAACTCAATAGACTTGTTCATCTTACTAATTTAAACGATACATATAAATTTCATACAGATCGGATAATAACTTTTGTCGTCAGAGCATTTACAACGTACAGTGGACTCTGTCACATCCGATCTCTGATCACTCCGAATTGCTGTGACATCCGACATGATTTTAATGTCCCGATTTATTTCCTTATTACTTCAGCCAAAAAATCGCTGGTAAATCCGTATTCTGTATGTTCCGGATTCCGAAATCAATCAGCCATCCCGTCACATAATTTCCATTGAATCGACACCGTATAATCCGTATTTCAAACAGTGGGTGTGAAGCATCCAATTATCGGTGAGATTAAAACTCAATGGGTGTGAAGCCAGAAAAGATTAACAAGCAATCACCAATCAATTATCGGTGAGATTAAAACTCGCAAGCGCCGGTCTGTGTTGATTACTTTGATCAGTAAAGCAATGAACCCGAGATGTTTTAAGGGAGTGGACAAGATCAACCAGCCAGTCAATTGGTCGGCCAATCGCAAAGCGTGGATAACAGGTGCCATTTACTCTGATTGGCTTGAAAAACTGGACATAGAACGACAGATTATAAATGAACACGTAACAGAGAAGACAAGTGGACAGTTGACTGAAGACGGGGACGATGAAGAATATTCATTAACGACAGACGTGACCTATTCAAAATGCCTACGCATGCTCAACGACATTAAACACTTCGCACATATTAAGGACGAAAAGATGATCGCAACAATTCATTTGTTAGAAGATGTTGTCCAGGACTTCGCCTTACGATATGCTTCCGGTAATCTTAAGCAAACTACTTTAAACGATTGCATGCATTGATATTTATAAATATATTGTACGCATGCATTGATATTACATGTAAATGATTTTATGAATATATTGTACGCGTGCATTGTTATTGTTAATTATTTAATGTAATAAAATTTTGAAAGTACAGAAAAGTTTATCATTTATAAAGGGAATAGCATTCTGGTGATTCGAAGCTACAATATAAAAATACTTTCGGTTTTCGAAGTTACACTATTTCCGGTTTTGGAGAAAGCTCGGTATTCCGAAACGCTGTGTGATCTGAATTATTGTAACGATCCCGTACAATGTCGGATGTGACAGAGTCCACTGTACAACAAAGTAAAACAAGGGCCATAACTCACGGCGTAATTAAAGGAAATTGCTGAAATTCAATAGGCTTCTTCGTTTCACTAATTTAAATGATGCATATAAATTTTAAACAGATCGGATGATAACTGTTGTCATTAGAGCGTTCACAAGATTCAACAAAGGGAAACAAGGGCCATAACTCTAGATGTAATTAACGAAAATTGCTGAAATTCAATAGAATTCTTTGTTTTACTAATTCAAATGATGAATATAAATTTCATACAGATCGGTTGATAACTTTTGTGGTTAGAGCGTTCACAAGGTGCAACAAAGTGAAACAAGGGCCATAACTCCAGAAGAAATTAACAGAAGTTATTGAAATTAAATAGGCTTCTTCATCTCACTAATGCAAACAACATATATCAATTTCAAAACAATCAGATGATAAATGTAGTCTGTAGATGTTCACAAAAAATTGTGGACGACAGACCTACAGACAGACGGGGGCAACGGCAATATACGACCACATTTCCATGTGGGAAATGTGGCATATAAAAATGGCTAATCTAATGTCAAAGGTTAAGATCATTTCTTAGAATAGAAAGCACTGACTTTTATTTTAGTCTCTTGTTACCTGGAGGTCCATGTATTACAGCTAGTTCTTTTTGTAAAAGAGAAAATCGTACAGCTTCTCGTTGTGATTCATCCAGATTCTCATTAAAGAATTCAATATCTTAAAAAGATGATATATTTTGATTAACATTTGAATTAAGAACATCAAAGGCAAATCTTTCACATTAAAATTAACAAAGTTTGAAGAAAATTCCCCTTTTAACTTGATCGATTGTCACTATTTTTGGGTTTGACAGAATTCAATTCCGGAACGTTCAATCGTGCATCCCAAGACGATTCTGTTACAAATTTTATGGATATTTCACATGTGCCAACAGTTCAAACTGGATAAATGTATTGGAATAAATCTGTGCAGCAAATTTGTACAAGACAGTTGTAAAATAGATAAAAATAATATCTTACTAAAGCCTTGACTTGGTGGTGATAGAGACGACACATCAAATAGTATATTAATGAGATTTCCTGCAGGACCAGACGTGTATTTATTTAGATCCTTCAAGGCACTGAATAAAATACATTTTAAAAAAACAATTAAACTTCTTAGAAACTTGAAAGGATAAACAACTGATTACAATTTTGGTCATACTAAACAGAAATCTTTCCAAGAAAAATTTCAAGTGAAAATTATAAATATTCATTTCATGTATATATATTCAAAATTCTGACCTCTGCAATACACTCAAATACTATTTAAAACTGAATGAAATGCACATAATTGGCTCCTATATTATACCTGATAAGGTCATAGGAGACCAGGAATACATATTTTTCAAAAGCAAAGGGAGATTATTTCTTTCTGAATTGTCAAGAATAATAACCAGTTGGATGTTTAAAAGCAAAGATGGATATGTGTTGTTCCTATTATGTAATTAAATCTGCTGTATTCTGTTCACCTGCTCATCTTTCAGGATATATTATTATTTTACTAAACCAAAAGACCCTAATTTAACACTTAAACTTCTGTGCTATAGTGCGGCTATAGTGTACTGGTGAGTATGTTAGAATGATCATAGTTCTTCTTGATTTGCATTAACTCACCCTTTCAATCTTTTATATGTAACATCATTGGCTAGTTTTGTTAATTTATACTGAACATCATCATCCAATGAGAAAATGTCTGCTGTTTCGTCGAACGCTACACTAATCTGTAAAGAACTGATCTTTGACACAATACCTGATGCCAAACAGTCTGCTTGACCTTCACCTTGTGATAAATTTAATCCAACAATATCACCTGAAATAAATTCAATAATGTAAAGCCGATGAGGTCCTGGCATTTCTTTGAAAACTACAATACTATGAAAAGTTGAATCTTGACAGGAATATCATCATATAAATGATATAATTCTGTTCAGTATTTACAAAGATAGGATGAATTGAAAGTTTCCTAACATTACACATCTTCTACAGATGATACATAAACAAACCAACACCATGGGGTAAAATCTTCAATATGCCTCTTTTCAATCCAAATGAATCCATACTGGCAGGTTTATCTACAGTTGAAATTTTGGTTTTGTTTTCATCATGAAATATTAAATAATCAATCTCTGAGTACATTTCAGGTTGGATTAAGCCATGAAAAATTACATAGGACTATTTTCCGAAAAATGCAAATGACATGTAGTGGCTATGATTCTTAGGTGTGACGTTATTTCATTTTTGAGTGTAAGAAACAAATTTATTATTCACCTGGTGTCAAATTATGGGAGGGTAGTTCTGCACCAGACCAAAAGGGTTCAAAGGTTGAGATGTTTCGTCCATAAAGACCTGATCGTCTCTCTGCTAGACGCAGTTTGAGTAAACATACCCCACGGTTCTGTAATTCTTTTGCTGGTAATTTCTCTGTTAAAAGTCTGAAATAAAAATAACATATTAATCTAATAAAGCATAGGTCTATCATAAAATTCTATCGAAAAATGAGATTTGCGGTTGGCCTACTGTAATAGTTTTTGCTTCACTAGTCTAAAAGAATATGTTATCACAATTACATGTTGACTCTTAGAAATAAAAGGAAAGGGGTTTGACATGAAACGTTTCTTAATCCAACCGTGCTTATAATGAAGACAGTCATATATTCAATCATCTTCAAAAAAGCCCTGATCTCGCTTTAACTCCATACATCTTATCGAGCCCTTCACATAATACACTGCATATTTGAGCGCTAATTTAGATTGGCTACCAAGTCTCGCACTTTCCAGCTAAAATGTCTACCTGTGATAATTGAGTTGCAAAGTTCAAGGTTTGTTAAATGTCATGGTGTCTGTGGAGGTTGCCATATTTGATTTGAGTGTGTTTGTGTCAAAACCTCTGATTGGATGCTATTGGTCACATGTCTGCGGTAAAGGGAAATAATGTACCTACATGTATAAGTTCGGGAATTGCAGACCCGTCTAGCAACTTGTAGATGTTGTAAAACTCGCTCTCGTTGCTTTAGGAACATGATATTCAGTGTGCTATGAAGGCACCTGTCAACAAGGGTTCTTTTACGAGAACATCAATACACAGGTTTTCATCCTATTTGAACAACTAAATGTTGTACCACTGACAAAGGGAAACCACACAGGAAAATCCTGACGAGGTTTCTGGGCCTACACTACTGGGGATCAAATTCATGCACTCCTTGTTAGTTAGTCGTGATCAATGCCTTACTCACTGAGCCACAGTAGCTCCAACATCTATGTGGATAAATTTCTAACAACTAGGCCTGTATTGTGGATTTTAAATCTTTTGTCGAGTGACTTTGACTTGATACACGTACAGGTCAAACTCTAATGCTAAGTTATATTAATTTATTTACTATTATATTAAGGTTTCAATGGAAGGATTGTGGATTATAAAACATTACGACACCAAAGACAACTCCACTGTTATGTCAAATTTCAACAGATTAAGGCAATAAAGAAGAATCATACGCACAACGATGAAATAATAAAAAATAAAGAAGTATGAATGCTGTATTATTTAAAGCGAGAATTTCAAATTTTCTTATAAAGTCAAAACATAATTATTTCTATGTCTTTTGCTCAATAGGTTATCAAATCACTATTATACAATCATGGGCATTATTTCCCACCCTTAAAAATCTATGACACAGGAAATAACAACACAATTACCTCCCCTGTTTTGCTATTGACAACATGGGGCAGCCACTTTCCAACGTTGGAATTTGAAGTTAAAAATGATATTTATGCCAATTTCTCAGCTGGCAATAGCGAATTATAGAATTAATAGGATTATTCTTTAACAAGGTAGGACTGTTTATGGATACCATCTATTTTAAGGCTTTATTTTAATACATTTTAAAAATATAACTTGAAAATTTGCAATTGCAACTTATTTATATTTATTATAAATCAAATTGAATGATCAGCTTTCACACCTTGTCTCGTCGATTTCTGTTTGTCTTTCCTTTTCCAGCAGATCAAGCGTCTTCGATACAAAGTTTTCCAAACTAGTCATTTTCAGAATAATGAATTTAAATTAAAGGCTTGCATGAAATAAAATGGAAAGAAGAATCTCACTCAGCACATGAATAAGATTTCACCACTTCCAGTCATAACTGGGAAAGATAACTCTGAGTATCTCACTATCTGACATAAAATGGAAGGTAGGTAACTCTAATTTGGCGGCAATTTGAGAGAAAAGTGCAGCGTTTACAAGGAAATGGCCATTGATTGAGCACACAAAGAATTTATAGATAGCAGGTAGCGGTATAGCCTACTACTGTAATGCATATATATATATATTTCTATTTTACATTTGGAGATTGAGCATGGTTAGATCTAGTTTAGCTTTGAACATAGATGATTAGGACTAGGCCTATGTCACATCATTACTAATTAAATGGTGCGCAGATTGTCAACTTTGCGCTGATTACCTTGATGATGTTTTTAGAGATGTTAGTAGTGTGTCTATAGGTTGACCACCCTTCCCGCATTTCGCAATAAGTTTCTAATATATGCGTGATTCTAATCTCGCGATGATAGTCTATTTGAGTGTAGGCCTACATTAGTCTCGGTAGCCCTACACATTAATCTATATTTCAAAGTATGTAGGCCTACCAATATTTTTTAGACCTAAACTTTACTTAATCAACAACTTTGAACTTATATAAATAATTCTGTTTCTCAAACATTCTGCACACGCAACACATATGAGTTATACATGTATAAAGTACAGTAAAGGAATATTCCTTCTTAAATATTTACTTGTTGTAATACTCCGGTTTCCTCCCACTGCTAAAGACCCCTACGCGGCAAGCGAATTATTGAAATAAAATTAAACCATATGTTAGTCCCGAAATGACCTAGTCTGTGTCGAGTGGACGTTAAACCCCATTTCTCTCTCTCTCTCTACTTGTAATACAAACTCAATACTTACGTGTAGTTTACAGAAACAGCTAATGAGCTATAGGCCTACCTGATTTACGAATGACATTGCTTCTGTCCTGATCTCTTAAACATGGGCTAGAAATAGATGAAAGTATGGACCTTCAAATATAATGATATATAATGTCTACAATAAAGTTGATTAATTCTTCAATTATATGACAGAAACCAGGCATCAGTAAAAATTATTAAATATGCGAAATTCATATTAAATTAAACTTTAAATATTCGTGTCAGGCGTTTCAAAAGATATATTAAGAAATCGCAGATTATTAGAAGCCATGTTGTCGAACAAGAAGTAGGCTACCCTCATAAACTCATTAAACTATCTTGAGATGTTATGCATTCAGGAGAAAATCACAAGTTATCACTACAAAATCAGAGTATTTCAGTATCATATTTCTTGTCTCAGATTGCTGGGAATGACATTTCCGGGCTTCTACTTGTAATTTTCAAAATATTTTGGGGGTGCCCCCCATTGCCGTCTCCGCCAACCACAGAGTCACAAAAAATAAGAGGGTTTTTGAAAACATTTTTTTTATTCTGAAATATCTCGCAATATGATCAAGCTAAGGTGGTCACCCTAAGTGACGTAACTATATATATATGACCTGCCCCCTATCGACTTTGTAGTGAAATAGTTTTCAAAATCACAGCATAATTAGCATGTGTGCTTAGAAAAATAAGATTTTTATACGCCCACATTGAAATGTGGTCGTATATTGTTGTCGCGTCCGTTCATCGGTCCTGCGTCCACAATTGCTTGTGGACGCTCTATAGGCTAAAATTAATATCCAATTGACTTTAAATTTATACACAGTGTTTAAGGTCATGAGACGAAGAAGCCTATTGATTTTCAGCGATTTTCGATAATTACTGCCAGAGTTATGGCCCTTGATCACTTCAAAAAATCTTGTGGACGATCTAGAGGTCAAAGTTAATATACGATTAACTTTAAATTTATACATAGTGTTTAAGGTCATGAGACGAAGAAGCCTATTGATTTTCAGCGATTTTCGATAAATACTGCTAGAGTTATGGCCCTTGATCACTTCAAAAAATCTTGTGGATGATCTAGAGGTCAAAGTTAATACCCGATTGACTTTAAATTTATACATAGTTTTTAAGGTCATGAGACGAAGAAGCCTATTGATTTTCAATAAATACTGCCAGAGTTATGGCCCTTGATCACTTCAAAAAATCTTGTGGACGATCTAGAGGTCAAAGTTAATATCCGATTGACTTTAAATTTATACACAGTGTTTAAGGTCATGAGACGAAGAAGCCTATTGATTTTCAGCAATTTCCAATAATTTTTGCCAGAGTTATGACCCCTGATCACTTTGAAAAATCTTGTGGACGCTCTAGAGGCTAAAGTTAATATCCGATTCACTTTAAATTTATACACAGTGTTTATGGTCTTGAGACGAAGAATCATTGATTTTCAGCGATTTCCGATAATTACTGCCAGAGTTATGCCTCTTGATCACTTTGAAAAATCTTGTGGACGCTCTAGAGGCTAAAGTTATCATCCGATTGACTTCAGATTGATACACAGAGTTTAAGATCTTGAGACGAACAAGTATATTGACTATCAATGAATCTTTATGACTTGAACAGCTAAATCCATGATATTAAAAGTTTTGTATACTAAGCGTTAGCATGGGGCAGAACTTTATAAAAACCAAACAAATTCTAATGGTTTTCTGATAATTACGTAATGAGTTGTTACTCTTAATCAGATTTTAATGTTTTATAAATGTTTCATTACCGACGATATAGCTGCTGTGGGCGTATGTTTCGTTGCCTGGCAACCTATCTTTAATTCTAGTTGACAGGTTTTTAAATATTTTATCAATGTGCGATGTAACCTAGTGTTTCTGAATTTAGGTTCAGTGGTCAACAGGTGAACGGATTATCATCGCGGTAATCCATTAAATGTACCGAACAAAGTCCACTTCACGCGTGTAGATTAGTCAACCAAAATTAAACAGAGATTCGCGCATGCGCAGGGGTAATCTGTCCACAGGGTAACCTGTGCTCAACATAATTACTAATTACCTACGTTGTAACAGTCAGTCGTTCAGAGATGAATTAAGTTAGATCTAGTTGATAAGGTCAACTTCAAGTTTGGTCAAAGGTCACAAGATGTAAACAGGGCTAGCATTAATCCTTTCTCTGGACATAGCCCTAACACTTACCATAACCTAATAGTAATTGTATGAAAAATCATGTTTTTAGCTTGTGGTCCCTTTAGAGGTCATAATTCTTATCCGATTTAAAAAAAAATGTTTGAATGTATCACCGTTGAACTTATAATTGGACCGAAACTGCTGGAAAAAAAGACCACTCCTTGCACACAAATGGTGTAAATGTATGGTATATAAAGTTTGTGGCCCCTCTAGAGGTCATAATTTTGATCCGATTTTGATTAAGCTTAAAATATATGTTTATATCCCAAAGAACTCATTTTTTTTCGATATTCGTGCATATTGGAACATAACTGCCTGGATTATGGCCCCTGATTATTCGAAAAATCACATGTTTAGGTTGTGGTCCTATAAAATTATTAAAAGTCACAATTTTTATCTGATTTTGATGAAACTTGCAAAATATGGGTGTATCTTGCCTGGTAACCACTTGTTTTTAACTGTGAAATCTAACTTGATTGTCACTGTTTGTGTTTATATTACCGTACATTATAGTTTTATTGTACGGTTCTGTCTTATTAGCTTTTAAAACCTTAAACTTTATCTTTTTCAGAAATCAACAAGTAAAAATATATATCAAACTGATTTGTAAAGTAAGATGTCATCAGGAAAAGTATTCCCGTGTGAAATCTGTGACAAAAAGTTTCCAACTGAAAGTAGATGGGGTATACATATGCGTGTTCACACGGGAGAAAAACCCTATGAATGTAGTTATTGTGACCTCACCTTTAGTCAACTAGGTAATGTTCAAAAACATGAACAAACACACACAAAAGAGAAACCTTTCTCTTGTAATGAGTGCAACAACAGTTTTGGCACTAAATACCATCTAAACAGACATATCAGAAATATTCATACCAAAGAAAGACCACATAAATGTGATGTTTGTGAAAAAGCATTTAGTAATCAATATACTTTGACGACCCACCAGGTGATTCATGATACAGATATAGACAACCAATACAAATGTAAGGTTTGTGATAAGTTGTTCAAATCACGTCAGACTTATAATAGTCACTACTCAGTTCATACGGGAGAAAAACCCTTCCAGTGTGATATATGCAAAAGAAGGTTTAGAATTTTGATGTCTTTAACAATTCATCGCAGATCTCATTTAGGGGATAAACGGTACAAATGTAAATTCTGCGACAAGAGATTTGTACAGCGATCTAATATGAAAACACATTTAACAACTCACTCGAATGAGAAACCATATGCCTGCGATATCTGCGACAAAGTATTCAGTAATAATAATATTTTGAAAAGTCACCTAATCCTACATAATGGAAAAAAAACTCATAAGTGTGATATATGTGGAAAATCTTTTCTTACAAGAAACAGATTAACTAGTCATGAAATAACTCATTCTGATGAACGTCGGCATGAGTGCAAACACTGTGGAAAATGTTTCAAACATCTTTCTAGCCTTCATACACATGTTTTAATGCACACAGGTGATAAACCATATAAGTGTGAGGTGTGTCACAAAAAGTTTTTTCAAAAGGTTAATTTAAGAAAACATATTGAAAATACACACAAATAAATTGTTCTCTTACATCAAGTTGGTTTTCCCGTAGAATTGTAATAACTAACTCATACCTATTTAGGCCTATATTGTCAAGCCTGGAAATAAGACACCTGTCACTGACAATGTCAGGCACTGTGGCACATATTCAGGCTTTGTAAGACACTAAACCTCTGGTGCCTGTCATTTTGTTTGGCACTGATTTGTCTTTTTATTGATATTATTAATACATGTCTGGCACTAAGTTGAAAATGTCAGGTACTATTTCATTAGTGCCTGACATTTTGTCAGGTACACGGAAAACCGTTATTCCCAGGCCTGTATATTGTGCTGTCAAGAGGTTAGAGAGACACCTTTTTTCAACCTACAGGTAAAGTTTATCTTAAAGCGGAAATAGCAAATTTTCTAAGGAAGTCAAAACGTAATTATTTCTATGTCTTTTGCTCAATAGGTTGTCAACTCACAATTATACGATCATAGGTGTCATTCTCACACTTAAGATTCATTTAGACAGGAAATAATAACACAATTACCTCCCTTGTTTTCTATTCTCCACCATGGAGTAGCGATATTCAAACGTTCGAAAATGAAGAGGAAAATGATATTTTTGCCAATTTCTCAGCTGGCAATAGTGAATTATAGGATTAATAGGATTATTCTTTAACAAGGTAGAACTGTTTATGGATACCATCTATTTTCAGGCTTTATTTTAATAAATTTTAAAAATATAACTTAAAAATTTGCAATTTCCGCTTTAAATATAGTATGGACTTAATATACAAGACCACAGAGAGCCTTAATCAAGCGAGTGTGATAACTGACGTAGGTTGTAGAAAAAGTTGACCTGATCCATTTAATTTTTTATACGCCCACATGGAAATGTGGTCGTATATTGCTGTCGCCCCCGTCCATCCGTCGTCCACAATTTCTTGTGAACACTCTACAGACTACATTTATCATCTGATTGTTTTGAAATTGATATATTTTGTTTGCATTAGTGAGATGAAGAAGCCTATTTAATTTCAATAACTTCCGTTAATTTCTTCTGGAGTTATGGCCCTTGTTTCACTTTGTTGCACCTTGTGAACGCTCTAACGACAAAAGTTATCAACCGATCTGTATAAATTAGTAAAACAAAGAAGCCTATTGAATTTCAGCAATTTCTGTTAATTACATCTAGAGTTATGGCCCTTGTTTCACATTATTGAATCTTGTGAACGCTTGAACGACAAAAGTTATCACCCAATCTGTATGAAATTCATATGCATCATTTAAATTAGTGAAATAAAGAAGCCTATTGAATGTCAGCAATTTCTGTCAATTACTTCTAGAGTTATGGCCCTTGTTTTACTTTGTTGAACCTTATGAACGTTCGAACGACAACAGTTATCATCCGATCTGTATGAAATTGATATGCATTATTTGAATTAGTAAAACGAAAAAGCCTGTCGAATTTCAACAATTTCTGTAGATTACTTCCAGAGTTAGAGCCCTTGTTTTAGTTTTTAGAACCTTGTGAACCCTCAAACGACGAAAATTATAATGTCATCTGTATGAAATTGTCTATTAAATGTCCCCAAATTACCTACAAAAGAATAAATATACGACAACTCTTGTCGACCGCTCGGTCGATTTAGCTGCTGTGGGCGTATGTTTTGTTGCCTGGCAACCTATCTTTATTTTCGATGGTTTGTTTACAGTATTTACTGAATTACATGTAACTTTAGAAATGCAAGAATAGGTGTTAAATACTTATTAATTATAAAGAGTAATCTTTATTATTGGGGCTGTGTAAACTAAATGTATGTTTTGAAATGTCATCCAATTGTACATATTTCACTCCTTCGAACCATAGACTGTCAATCATAATAATATTACATGCATTATTACGAATAACATACTAAATATATGAAAAAATATATGTTTTCTCAGGCCCGGATATAGGATTTTGTCATGGGGGGGGGGGATACATTGGAGCAAAGGGTAATCATCAGAGTGCCGCATGCATTAGTGGTTTGGTGTAGTCCCCAGAGTCTTCGTCGCGGACTCATTAAACAGAAACTAAAATCTGGGAATCCCATTGCTGGCTGCAGGTGCTGGTCTGAACAGTGACGACCAGTCTCACTGGGGCTGACCCCCCCCCCCCCTGGATCCGCGCCTGTTTCTAATGTAATAATACATGTATATTCATTTACTTCTAATTTTTGTTCCAATGTAGTAATGCTATACACCAATAGCATGTTCTAATTGAGTATATTATAGTAATTAATTATATCTATGGTTATATCATTTGGTTCATGATTATTTCGAATTTTTAATTTTTAATCTGACATTTTTTGTTTTATAGTTAATGTTTATAAGCTATGTACATAATAATATTTAGTTATATATTTCATTTCTAATTCAAATTTAATAATTATACTCTTATATTGTATATGTACAATGTGAAAGTATTCTATTATTTAGAAATATTTTATGTTTTTAAGTTTTAGTTCTAATGTAAAAATATTCTATGTTCATGGACTGATACATGTACTACATAGGTATGATTACAGGTATATTTAATTGTAGTTTCAGAAACGGATCAAGTTTCTATAGTGTTACTTTTTTTTTTTCTTTTTTTTTTACTTTAATAGATTATATTTTATTAATTGTATTAAAGAATGTAATTCAAATAAAATATGTTTTATGTCCTTGACGTTTCCATTAATTTTACTTCTTATAACTTTTCATAGTACACAAGGACAGCTGTCTAGTTGTTCGGATGGGATGTTAAACCAAGGTCCTGTGTACACATTGGCATGCACGTAAAAGATCCCTTGACAGTTGGAATTTGATATAAGAGTAGGCCGTAGTGCCGCTGTCCAGGCAAAATGTCCCTCATAACACACTGTATGGCATTTGTTTCATAGCGGCCCCCCCCCCCCCTCACTTTCACAGTTCCTGTAACCAAACCTTGATGACATATATTTTGAAATACAATGTGATGTGTTAGATTTTAATATACACCTGAATAGTGACACAAATGGAGAAGTGGTGTCAGTGTAATGGGTAGGAACTGCTGATACCATTTCTCATTTGCTTTAGTATTTTTTTGAAACTGAATAATATCAGATAAAATTTCATTTTTTGTTGCTAATGAATATTATTTCACATTAAAACATAATGCACGTCTTAATACAGTATTCTGAACCCCGTACATTTGAAGTGTTAACTATGTCCCGTCTGTCGACCCAAATATGTTGAATGTACCAAAATTTAACAAATGTAAAAAAGAAAAATAATATAATTACATCCCTAAATGCTTCCACTTTCCGCGTATTATGTGCTACGACGGAACAGGAGCTCAAACTCTCGGGAAAAGTTCCCGCCTTTCGCATAGATAACATTCCGAGGACGGAACAGAAACCAAACTCTCGGAAATTCAGGAAATTATTTCAGATTAAACCATTAAACTACATGAACTTACATTCCCTAATACATTAATAGAAAGAGAGAGAGAGACATGTTTATCTACATTAAATCATCGTAGGTTTAAACCTGTCAATCATACATGGCAACAATTCTTCCGTTTTGTCAGGACAACTTTACTTTACAACGGGGGCAGTTGTTGGTCTCACCTGACTTTCGATTCTTTTCCGCTAAAAATAAGCCACAATTCCTTCCCCCACCCCACCCATTTAAAGGTCATCCGAGGATAAATAAAATACGATTAGAATTATAAAATTTATTTCCCGCCACTTCTTAACAAGAATTGCCAATACGCAAAAACACGCTTAATTGGCGATCGACAACGTGGGCTCTAAACAGGTATCAGTAGGACGTTAAACTCCATTTCATTTCATTTCTAAACAGGTATCAATTTAAGAACAAGGCAGGATGTCTTCTTTCTGGATCAGCTAATTATACAGCTTCTATATTGAGTTCACATCTATGGGGATACTCGATTGAACGTTGAATTCTACAAATCCCCAAAATTGCGTCTATCCAGTGAACCAACCATGACAGCTGAAACATATTGGTTGTGCTGTGGTTAATTACGTCACCACCTCTGTTCAGGTTCAGGCGCCTTCCGTCAAACCCAGTCCCAGATCAGATTACATATTAACTAAAAAGCTCTGTTAGATAAATATTACACGGCGCTCGATTCTATTATAAAATCATTCTTCCGCCACTGCTCTGTGGTCTTATACTATCTCATATATCATATTCACGGTTATAGTGAACCGCCCAGTTAAAGGACAATATTGGTGCCAGTCATTATTACATATGTGATAGAACTAATTAAACACGTTCCAAATATATATTATTTTAACACAGAGATCATTGCTACGATAGCTGAGTAATACAGGTTTCCTGAATCGGAAGTGACGAACGCCAAAGGAAAACACGAGTCATCCCTCTATATATAACTGACTGAAGTGACGAGTGATAACAGATACATGGGCGAATTTCTGCTCACTAATAATTCCTTCCGAGATCAAAAGTTGTGTGAGACTGTGAGAGGATATCTGACAATTCATAAAAAGAATTGACTGCCACTAGATAAGAGAACACGAAAGAAAAACAGAAAAAGTCCGTGCATTACCATGTTTTTATATGGTATAGAATGAATATAAACAAGGGAATGTACGGACTATTTCTATTTTTCTCGTGTTCTCTTATCTAATGACATTCAATTACTTTATTGAATTGTCAGGTTTCCTCTTACAGTCCCATAACAACTTTTGGTCTTCGAAGGAATTATTAGTGTCCTTTAATAGTGCCACTAGTGCGCGGGGTCACAGACTGTACAAATTTTCTGTTAACTATTTCACAAAACAAGCGGAATTGACAGGCAGATCTCAAGATTCTGTCCCATTGACTCCCATTTCTGATCCACAAGAATTTGCTCCCTGCAATCACCTCAAAATCCAGGATATTGACTCAGAGGGAGACCCCTCCCCCCTCCTCTTCAGTTGCACAGTGTCATAGTCACTTCTGTAAGGTTGACAAAAATCAGTAATAATCATAATATGACATGAACTTTATGTCAACTTGAATATAACTGCTTTTCGGCGAGATAACGATCGGCTAACAACTATACAGGCAATACGATCTTCTGTTCTACCGGGGCGCTCAGACCGTGTTTATAGCCTTTTGTTGACATTCATTGTGGGGTGAGATTGTGGATGGCAACCCCTCTCCCATCACAGCTTCTAGATCCACTACTGCCTCTGTTGTAGGGACTCATTGCAATTCTGTCCTTTCCGAACTGACAATTGAGCAACCCCTATTTTTTCCGGTGTAGCTTTACATTTAAAACCAAATTCAGATCTTTATTCTTTTGTAACACAATTTCCAAAATTAATGAAGAACGTGCTCAATCAAAGTAGACCGAGAAAATAAACTAAATTATGATGCTCAGTGTCGGGTTGGTAAATATTGGAAATTTGATGCTATAAATGTTTACTTCAGGATGATCAATTGAAATACCGCTCATTGATGTTGTAATCTGCTATTAGCTTTATTACCATTTATAGAAGAGGAAATGTAGAGGCATGCGGTCACCTACTTGAATTCATCAACTTTACTGAAGGAAACAATACTGCGATCAATTGAAACATTAAAAACAAAACAACAGGAAATTGGCGGGAAGTATGGCGACGCCTGTCTTCTGTTTTATTTCAAAGACCGGTTACTGCAATTTCCACGAGTCTCTCCTTTTCCAGAACGTTCGTCTCTCGGATCTTTGTGTGGGATATTTTTGAAAACCAATTTAATAACTCCACAGGTTCCAACATTTCTGAACGGCAGCCTATTTAATGATCAATGGCTTTGTATTATTTGCACCTCAACCGTAACCAGTAATAAGTTATAAAGTCAACAATTAATATACCGTATGCCAAGAAATTGGGTAATTTTGACACGGATATTATAGCCCACTGCCAAATATTATACTTTCAATGAAATAGCAGCGTGAATAAGTTGTAAGTTTACTTGGCGTCGTACCAGATTTGACGGGAAGTGCAGTACCTGTTATTCATGTAACTAGGGTAACAGGATGCATGTCTATTTAAATACGTAATTCAGAAACAGGTGGAAGCCGCGCCAAAGAACAGTTGAGCGCAAAGCCGATTTTCAAATAATCTTGCCCAATACCTGCCCCCGGGACTCTTCCGTGTAGTCTGTTTACTGTATATTTTCGACAGGAAATTACAAAGCAATTCACATCTCACTAGCACTCAGAATGATTTATGAAACCAAAAGTTAGAGAAATATGATAACAGAAGGCATTGGTTTGGTGCCGTGATGGCTGCTGCACGTGCCAATTCTCGTTTTACTCCATTCCGCGTTGCCTTTCTAACGGAAAATAATTAAACATAGCACAGGCGTATTAAATCAAAATAAGGAATATATATTGAAGGAAAATTTGGTCGACTAAAATACATTCGTGTATAATCGTGGTAACTTTTAACACTCGCTTCGAACAGTTCATTCCCGTAATTTGTAAGAAAATTGAAGAGATTATCCTCTAATAGTGATACACAATTCCATGACAAAAGATACATTTGTTCAGAGATAAGACAGGTCATTGTCATCAAAACTGCAACAATTTGTTTTTACAGAAAGGCTGTGGCTTTCATGTATGACGGTTAGATTTTGCATCGGAAAATATTGGGATCAACTTTGTATGTTAGTTGTAATTGTGTGCTGCTTATGCAGTACAATTTGAATTCCTTTGATATGTAATCTAATTAGCCCTGGCTGCTATATCTTGAAATTTTCTTTTGATATGGCAATGTTCTATGTTGATAAATGTTGCATTGTGTGGTATCACCCATACATACTACTAGTAGAGTTAAGCCTAGGCAACTATCATCTTTATAGGCCGATTACATGTATATGAATAGATTTGTAATCCGATGGGTGGTGGTTGGGTGTCAAAGATATGTTTTTCAGGCTGTTTTTGTAGAGAGAGTGATCAGAGATTTTTCAGGAAACTGTGAGGCAATATTCGTCGTTTTCTTCAGATGTTCATTTTGCCATCAATATATAAAATAAAACAAGCCAACAGTGAGGGTGATGTCTCCCTCCACAATCCCCGCCAAAAATAGATATACTAATATTTGTGACTGTCCTTTGTCTGTTCTGGGTTGGTGACTACACTAGGGCTGTCCCAAGGCTGAAATTTGTTGTATAGGGGTAGTTCGGAGTGGGTGGTAACACTGGTAACATAGGCCTGATGGTGTTGGACTACTACTTCCAGTTTTGGAGTAATGGCACGAATTGGGCCCCGGGCAAATTTGGGCCCCGGGCAAAGCTGTGTATCCTGCTAGTCTTTCCATAAAGTATCAAGCAATCATACTGCTTATCTATACATTAACCCCGTTACTGAGGTGGTCTCGGCATGGTATGGTTAAATTTTCGTAGTGTAAACACTATCCGGTCTGAGCACGGTTTCAGTACGGATTACTGTGCATGCGCGAAACGGACATTGACCTTTTTTCCCCCGCAAACTTTGACAGTTCTGTCATCATTTTTGTCAAAATGGCTGCTCAAACTATATCAACCATTATAATTGTTTTCATCCGGGTAATTTGCATAGGGACTGAAATTAACTTTTCTGTGAAGAGTTCCACATTTGCCGTGCTTGGCACGGTTCCGAGAACGGTTATTTTAGAGTAATGTAAACGGGTCGATTTCTTGGAATTTATCGCGGCCTGGTATTGTTCCCAGAACGGCATGCTTATCACGACAAAGTGTAAACAGGGCTTTAGTCTCAGCAAATAATCTTCATGATCAAACCTACCGGTAGTCAAATTGTTTTTGAATAATGCAACTATACACTCAGTTTCATCATTCTCCCACAGAATAAAAGTTACCATTTCCCAAAGCATCAACCAAAGCATTATTAAACCACACATAATAATAAAATGGACAATTTAATGACAATTTATTCTATATTTGAAGATGTTTTGATAGTAATAATAATATGACAGTTTATCTACAATAATGGCTAATGTTTTAATATTTTAGTGACGTTAAAACATGAGGATGGCCCAAAACTTCAGCTTCATCACAAACTGAAATAGAAAAAAGATAAATAAAAATACAAGGATAAATTATTTACAAATCATTTTATCTTTTGATAAACAACATCCAGAAAGAAATTTTACATGTCAGGTCTATCTTATAGTCTACATATGATTTCAACAATGCAGACATTGTGCCAATCTAGTCTTAGTGATAGCTTATCAAATTTAAATGTAGACACAGATCTCGCCGTTTTAATATTTTATAAAAAGCAAGATATATTTATGCTCCAAACTTACTCTGAATCTATTCATTTATTTTTCAAGACTTTGATTTGAAATTCTATTTTTAAAAACAGAATAAAAGGTTACTATTACTACCTATCAACATGACACAGATGTTATGTGTGTCAGGGGTTTGGGTCTCTAGTAGTTTACCTTGTGCACCTGAAATCACTAGGTCTGTCCAACCTTGTGGGTTTTCTCTGATTCCTCCAGTTTCCTCACAAGGCTAAAGACCTCTATGTATAAGCGAATTATTAAATAAAATTGAACCATGTTAGTCCCGAAATGACCTAGTTTGTGTCAACTGGATGTTCAAGCCCTTTTCTCTCTCTTTATGTGTGCCAAGGGTTTTAGTGGTCAAATGATATTCAAGTTGAATCAGGGTGTGACCCTGATATAGCGGCAACTTTATTAACCATAATAGAAATTAGGACAATATTGACTTAAAATCGTTGTAGTTAAACCCACATGCCAGAATAACCATTGGATATACAGATTAAGACCATACACAATCAAAAGAACTTTAATAAAAAAAAACCCAATTTGGTCCTAAAATTATTCAAATCATCAATCATTTCTAACTTCAACTTCGAACTGCTTTCAACACCAGCTCGTTAGACCAATCTAGTAATTATAATTGTGCTATGTACATGTAACAAATATTTCTAGCAAAAGTATTATTTTCAGTCAATTTATATCAACAAATTTGATCAAAACTTTTACAGCTCTCCCATGTGATTTGTGAATAAAATCTGGAACTTCAGTTTACATATGATATTATTAAGTGCCCAAAATTGGTCAAGATCTAAAAAATTATGCGCAAATATTAACAGTTCGGAAAGAAAGTAGACCCCTACATAACTGATAAGTATAAGGTCAAGAAGTTTCAAGTAATTTTTTCTAGTAGTATTTATCAGAGTAATTTGATCTTTATCATCTACTGCTCATTAAAAATGACTTTTAGGATCTCAATAAATCAAAACTAAAGGTCACCACACAATATTTTGATTAGAGAATTGTGTCTTGAACTTAGGCACTAGTTAGTTTGACTGAAAACATCATAGTGTAATAAAATATAGTGAATAAAATGTAAACATATAGTGTGGTGTGGCCTTTAGAAATCAAGTGGCTTATTCTTAAGTAGATAATTTATACTTTTATAGCATAGTTTGTTTGGAAATGTATATGGAAAAAAGGTTTACAATAATTTCAGAGATTTTTTATGAAATATTTTTAACCAAATTATCACTAATGCTAGAAAAAGTTTGTTGTTTTAAAATGGTTTTAAACCATATTGGAATTTTCCTATTGAAAAAAAAAATCTGAAACAAAATTTCTCAATAATGCCAGCAAAATAGGATAAAATCTATTGTTAATTCCAAAAGAAATGACTAATTTTCGAATAATTCAGGGATAAACACCATCTACTTTTGGATACAAACCGTTAATAAGACAGTTCATTATTTCAGTAAAATATGGAACTAGAGTTTTTGTTTTGGTCATATTTACCAGTCTTGATTCAATAGCAGTGCATATGACTGACGGGACAATGTACACACCACAAACTTATACACTAGGTATTTCATTGAATTTCAAAGAATTTAACTTGAAAGATAAAAACTATATTTAAATATACAGTTTATTTGTTTAAAAACATCATTGTCATATGAAAAATTGATCAAATGTCAAAATTTTAAACCTCCTGCATTTAACAAACAGTAGTACAGTACATACCATTAAAAACATCTTCAAAATCTACTGTTGTATTCCTTCCTGTTAGTGTATCAAGCATTATATTAGAACTTGCTAAACATGGTAACCTCTGCATCTAAAATTATAATATTAAAATTAATAAACTATCCCCCAGTTAATTAATTAAATTAATAAGGTCTAACTAAACCAAACTGATAATATCAATAATTTCTTGATGAATTGAAATGAGATGAAATCGGGTTTAACGTCCTACTGTTAAATGACGATCATGTTTAAATCTATTTAAATCCCTGCCATCCGATGATCTAGAGAGTTGATTATAGGCTTGTCATGTTGATAAATGTCTAAATAATAGTTTATATAACATTTGAAGCCAAAATAAATACCTGCAAGAGGCAGATTTAGCTTTTACATAATGCATCTTTAATCTTATTACCTTTGAAGCTATAGTTTGTTCCATTTTGAGTCTTAATGGCATGTGCATTCCTTGCATGTTTCTTAACATAGCTAAATCCATGGCCTCTTTATTACTCGTCCACTGAAAAACAAATAAAGTTGTCAATCATTTATTTAATCAATAAGGTGACTTGACGAGTATGGCACTCACTAACCAGAAGGTCTCGAGTTTGATCCTTGTCTTGGTCGAGAAAGTTCCTCAGGAGTTCCCAGTCTGGTTTTTCCGTTGTCAGTGGTAGAGGACTACAGGAGGGATGACCTGCCATGGAAAAGCATTTAGTTGTTCAGATAGGGTAGAAAAAAGTAAGATCCCATGTATACCATTAGGAGCATGTTAAAGAGCCCCTGACATTCTGGCAAAATCTCCCTCATATAGCATATTGCATGCCATCGGCTTATCTTTATTAGCCGAGTTGGTTCAGAAAAGTAATGAAATGAAATGGGGTTTAAGGTCCTACTGTTCTGCTCCGACTGGACTAATGAAGACGGGTATACGTCATAGAGTGTGCTATGAGTAAAATTTTGCCTGACCGTGGCGCTACGTTCTACTCTTATATCGAATTCCAATGGTCAAGGGATCTTTTATGCGCATGCTAATGTGTACACTGGACCTTGTTTTTTTTTGTCCATAAACGAACGACTATACGTTGTTCCTTGTGTCTGGTGCAGTTATAGTGGCAGTCATAGGTTGGGGGAGGGGCGGGTGGGGGAAAGGCACAATCTTGATTTGCATCCAAAAAACATAGAAGGATGTGTTTCATCAATCCGCAGCCTGAATAAGATCAGCCCAAGCCCTCTAAAAGGGAAATATAAAACAATTTTAAAGATCTGAATATTCACAATGACAACCCATAAAATCCCATATTTTGTCATTGGCTGGACCCTGGTGCTGCAACTGCAGGTACAAGATCACAAGAGACAATATTGGCAATCACCCAACACTTGATTTATTAATCCTTTATGACATGTACCGGCTACTTACATGTTTCTCTGAATATTCTAATGGATGTGATTGGTGTATTCCGTCTTTTGCATGTCGAAATCTGCAATAAGGTAAGCATTATACAGGTGTACACAATATAAATAATATCAGATCAAAGAGAAACATAGCTAGGTAATTGAGTGGTGTTCATTGTCTTCAGTTTGAAGACGGCAGAAACTGTTTTTTTTGTTTTGACATACTGGCTTCTGAATGACAACACAAGATACCTACACAACAAAAACTCTTAAATACATTGATATTTTAGTTTGTAATGTATTTTGCCCTACTTTGCAAGGTATCACAGATGTATGAAAGGCTATATTGATCAATTCCATCATGCATGTATTGATCGCACTTGTGAAATGAATTTTGATATTTACTTTATTATGCTAAATAAAAAAGAAGGTATTTTCACAAAATTTGTAAATATAATTTGCAATATGACCATCCAATATTATGACATCTGAAAGTTTTTGTATTTTTACTCACCCTGTTGTCATTGTGTCTGGAATACCATAAGAATTTTTGGGCAAGTTGATGACATGATTGCCCTCATCATGAGGTCGTAAATTTGGGTATCCAAAACTCTGGGAAAAAGAAAAATAGACAAATTAAAGGAAAATGAATAAAATTTTTTATCTTTACTGTTTTCTTTTGTTTTATTATAAATAAAACAATAAATAAATGTTACAAAACCCCAATCAATCTTATTTTATTAATATTAAGCTCTACTTTTGTTTTTATGTTGTTAATACTTAAATTACATTACAGTAAGATCTAACAACTTTTAAGAAGTTTGTATTCAACTGACTTGACCACATCATTTAGCCAATGGAAAGATGCTTTTACACTTAGCCATCATGTTTTAGCCCATCAGATTATAAAGAGAACAGATAACCAGTAAAAGAAGTAGACAGATCCTATGTAGAGTAGACCAACATCGAAGTCAGGCCAAATTATAGACATAATTAATAAAGGTTGCCTATAGTATAAATTTGCACTTTAAAATCATTCAAAATAAATTTCCTAATTCAGGTATTCAGTTCCCAGGAAGTGATAAGAAAAATTTGAATTGTGAGAGCAAAGTAAACAAAGAACAGGTTAGCAAATTGACACTGATTAATGACTGCCATTATCACATAATAATGGTGCGGAAACAGGGGGACGGATATTGACGTGATGAGATGAAGGACTTAGCGCCAGAATCAATATTAATGATAAGATAAACTAGAAAGATGATATGATTATAATATGGTTTGGTTTGAATCTAAAAGTGATTGATGGGGCATGATGCTCCATCACGATTTCGCTTCTCAGTGATTGTATAACATTAACAAAGCCTTGATCATACATTGTACTATTGTTTGCGACAGGAAGTTAAGTTTACTAAACTGTCCGATAACACCATAATCCAGGGACTGATGAGGATAAGTTACTTAAATCCCACAATGCTCAAGTCATAACTTAACTAAAGCAAGCTACATTTATATATATCTTAAAGATTTAACTCCTTGAAAATCAAGAGCCTAAATCCATAACCATTGATGGGAATTATCGGGGAAAATATATTGTTGATAAACGAATGATATCTTGCGAGATATTTCATGACAAGCTCACTTTAAATATTAGAAATCTTAAAGCAGGATAATGTTTTCTCATGTGCCATTTGTATTTTCGCTAAAATATCAAAATTTCTCACGGCTTAATACATGATAAATATTAGAAACCTTAAAGCAGGATAATGTTTTCTCATGTGCCATTTGTATTTTCGCTAAAATATCAAAATTTCTCACGGCTTAATACATGATAAATATCTACTTCCGGGTTGGATTCAATCAGTTTTAAACTAGGCCAATCAGGTCTCCACACCAATAAATGATGACCGCGTCTTGTTATGCTCGAGCAGCATAGATCAATGAAATTTCAATTCCACATATCTTTGTAAATACTGACCGGAATTGCACCATTTTTTGGATCGATATTCCTATCTGAGATTCATCTTTCACAATAAGGCAGGTTGTAAAAGTGACTCCCATTTCTTAAAAAGTTGCATCTAGACTTTAAATAGATAACCTGTTACAATAAAAAGAATATGAAAACAATATCTTTAATCACTGACTTATAGATATTAAATGTGAATGGTTTTATTGTTTAACGTAATGTGTTCACATATTTGTCAGAAGGAAAACACAATAGTGTGCCTGTACATGTACATGTCCTTAACTTAAGAACATACTCATATAAAGTACTGGTAACTAGTGTTATAAGTGATTTAGTCAACTAATTAATTGGTATTAATTTATACTTCCTGTGCTAAATTACTTCAATACAAAAGTAGGATGAAACCTGATACAAGGCCAATAACTCATCCGGAAACATCTATTTACATGCACCTACTTGATTAATCCATTTCTTGTAAATAACTTCAAAGATTTAAGATAAAACCAAATTAGAACTTTTGGTCTGTGTAATACATGTACATCAACGTAGATTGAAGGCCCCATTTCTCATGACATTTTAATTATCATAAAATAGTTATCAATAATAAAAGAAGCCATTTTTGTTTGTTAGTATCGTACCCCTCAAAGGAAATCAGATTCAAGGCACTATTTCGCACTACATTTTATTCATCAATAATAAAAGAAGCCATCTTTGTTTGTATCGTACCCATTGAAGATCAAATCATTTACTTCCATATTCAATTTATATGAATGGCTATGTGTTGTGCTTTTCTAATTTATATTATATGCTTTTCAATTCAGATTATTAGATAATAAAAAGTATAATAACTCTTACAACAATGATCTACAAAGTGTGTCTGCACTAGATTACTAACTGCTATATTATAAGACAAGGTCCACTGATACAATTTTATATATTCATCACATGTAATAACAGTAAACAATAAAACATCAGTTTCGCTTGATCAGTAATAATTATCAGTAAAAAATATATATCACTTTATCAGTACTACATACTAAATATTAGATGTCTATTTCAAACAGAATGTCAACAACTGAAATTATTGCTGTCTGAAATACTGAATGAATGAAGATTGTAGTAGAGTAATATAAGCAGTATGCTTATTCCCAGATTATCATATACGTACGTAAATCAAACAGTACAATGTAATGAATCAAATACAGCATGGGTATAAACTGGAAGAGTTTATTCCCAAAGGCATTTATATAAATCATTTTCACTTTGTCAGTTAAGTCATTTTTTTATATATACGTAATCATTACTTATCCTGGTTATTTTGGATTAATCAGTGAACAGTAAAATAGCCCTTGGCTGTGATGCCTATCAACCTGAGATCCTATCAAAAATGTTCCCAATTGGGCCCTGCAGTCCCTAAGGCCAGGTTGTAATTTGTAAATAAAAAAAATAACAGAGATTTTAACAAATGATATTGTAACAGTCATGAGAATTTTAAAGTAGTAAGCCTATCAAGTGTATTATCATCGCGGCCACTATCTTGGCAAATTTATAAATTCTTAAATAGAATCTAAATATAGTATGACTGAAATAAAGCTTTGCATAATATTATAAAATTCAGCAGATAGACTTTACTTCAATTTCCGAAATTGAAGTCTGTTATTAGAGTTATGGATATTAATACACTGCTAATCAAAACTGGATATTGCTAATCAATTTGCCTGAATTTATCTAATAACTTGATTAGCAGTTATGACCCAGAGTTCACAAAGCATTTTCAGACTTAAGTTAAGAATTTACTCAACTTTCAATCACAGTTTATGAGAAATATTTTTGATCAAAAAACACAAAACTTTGCACATAGTTTCTTATTGATGTATTTGATACATTAAAACAACAAAAGTTTTATAAAGGGCTATATTTTCGTTAAAATAAGGCGAACAATTTTGAGTGAATTCTTAACTTAAGTCTGAGAATGCTTTGTGAACTCGGGGCCAGATGATTGACCACTTGACATATTGCCAGTGTTGTGGGCATCTTTCATGCAAGGGTTGAGCACATTATCGACAACGAGTTAGAAATGACAAAAGTTTCTGCAAAATGGGTGTAATAGCTCTTGTCAGCGGATCAGAGAGACAGAAGCGTGTCAGATTCCTGACTTCCCATGACAATCTGTGGTTTTGAAGCAGATACTGATTATTTTTGACCAGATTTGTAACCATGGACGAGACCTGTTTCAGTGTTGCTGAAGAAAATTGCTTCCTGACCGGCATCCAGGACTTGCAACATCGTTGGCATAAGTGTGTACCCCTCGAAGTATAAATGGAAACAATAAGCTTACAACTTTTCAGCCAGCCATCGTATCTTTACCTCACTATACTAAGTAACATTCATTCAGTGTCTCAAAACTTTTTGCCAAACAATTTAATTTGAATTCAACCACTCTAGTGATTCTGACACTGTTTAACAATGCATTACCAGTACAGGTACAGCACTGAATCCTGTTTTGTCACTCCTTATAATTAAAAGCTTATTGTACAGATTGCCAGCGGGTCCGACTCTATGGGATTCAATTGTCAGATTTACCTACATTAAAAAAGCGTGGTTAAAACTTGTTCACTCTCCTCTGCCAGACTCTGGCCTGGACAACATTGGTGATATAACAACTATGGTCTATGAGCATTATAATCTGTATAAACCTGGACCCAACATGTCATCATCCCATCCATTTGGGAATGTGAACCCCATTCAAAATCGAATTTCATCAACCTATGTGCAACTGTCCAAAGAATGAATGAATGAAAGGAATGAAATGATGTTTAATGGCACTCAGCTCCAACCGGGCTATATTGTGCCAAAATTGTTCAAAGAACAAGCATGCCAAGTTTCATATCAATCATCTGCCGCAATATAGCCCGGTTGGTGCTGACGTGCCATAAAACCACATTTAATTTCATTTCATATCAATCATACTCAAATTGGCAGGGATCTACATGTACATTAATTTTAAGTCTAGGATTTATTTGAAGATCATCGTCCCAAAAACTAGGAAGATTACCAAGTCTATGGAACCAGTTCCTGGTTCACAAAGCTACCAGATGCCCACAACACATATCTGCATTAAACGATTATATGGCCGATTGAAGGACTGAAAACCCGGACTTTGTTTATTATGGTACTTGACAATCAAGAATATCAATTGTATCTATGTTAAACGAAAATATGGCGGCATTCATGGTGACAGCCAATTGAAGGACTGAAAATCAAGACTTGAGACTTTTTTTATTGTGACCATGATGGTACCTGACAGACTGCCAATCAAGAATATGAATTATGAACTGTATCTATGTTAAACAATAATATGGCAGCATTCACGTTGACAGCCGATTGAAGGATTGAAAATTGAGACACAATTTAGGCCATTTCTTGTCAAAACATCAAAACTTTGCTCAGACTACTCAGAGTCAGAGACAGAATAAAAGACTATGTAAAATAATGGAGTGGAACAATAAGGATAGTTATTCGTCATCCGTTTTATACAATATAGACCCTGAAATCCTTTTATATTGTCATTTGTAGCTTGGCAGTGTAAACAGACACCCTCCTTCATAGCAAAAGGGAAGATAGAGAAATCAACATTTTGTATAGTTGGAAGTAACATACATGTACCTGTGAAGTGTTTCGTATTCTATGAAATTTTGTATTTTACTAATAGTTACTATTTAAACATACATTATGCAAGAGCTAAATCTGCCAATTGCAGGTTTTTCTTTAGGGCCTGAAATGTTATCTAATTTATTAATCAGACATTAATTAACTTATCTAGAACATAATCAACTCTCGATGGCATCGCTAGCCTGCGATATTTACAGGATTAGAACCCGGTCTGCTGCTTCTGATTAAATCAAAAATTGGATAATCGAGACTATGTTTTTTATCGTACCGACTTTAATAATGATTATCGAGGCTAGGCCCAAAATTCAATCGCTAATTACTTGTTTCAGGGTGGATCAATCTGACCGAAATTTTCCGCAAATTGCCTTTACATTATCTAGTCTTTAACTATTATAGTGAGAACTACCAGCTCTTTATCTAATCTCACATAATGTATCTTTAAGTGTGACTTGTAACAATTGCACTTTTTAGTCTACATGTACTTTGCCGTGGCTTTTTTCTCGCAGAAAAATTCGAAAAAAGTTCAAATTCAAAATTCATGTATCCGCGACGGAACACCTACATGTATGACAAGAGATTATTAAATAATTACACATAATCGATTCGACACCCATCTTTCTTATGCCATTTGTTTTTATTTCATTTCTTATACGCAGAGTTGTTTCATTTTACACCTGTATGTTTTATTTATCTATGCTTATATTTTGTTTTCAATCAAATGTTTGATTTCCCATGCGTATACTTCCTTTACTAGGCCTACATTTCATCCAAAATCCATGTTTTATTTATCACCCTTATATTTCATTTTGCAATCGTATGAACACTTTGTATTTTACACTGGTAAGATTATATACATGTACATGTAGGTCCACGTGAGCTTAAGATATGATTGTTTACCCTATTTTTATATAAAAACATTTTGTCTCACTTCACACATTTTAACATATTTATATGTATCGAATTAACTTTTTTTTCCCACGCAGTGACCTAAAAATCAGAATTAGAATTCCATAGACTTGTCTTAAAGTATGTTCATTTTTTAGGACAAAGTTAAACTATGTTACCGGGTATGTACATGGTACATGTAGCAATACCTTTTTACCAGACACCATGAAAGGACAGAGAATAGTGATTTTAAAAGATAGGTTGCCAGGCAACAAAACATACTAAGAACTTTTGTCATTAGAGCATTCACAAGGTACAACAAAGTGAAACAAGGGCCATAACTCATGGTGTAATTAACGGAAATTGCTGAAGTTCAATAGGCTTCTTCGTTGCACTAATTTAAATGATGCATATCGATTTCAAACAGATCGGATGATAACTGTTGTCATTAGAGCGTTCACAAGATTCAAAAAAGTGAAACAGGGGCCATAACTCACTTTGTAATTAACGAAAATTGCTGAAATTCAATAGGATTCTTCGTTTCACTAATTTAAATGATGCATATCAATTTCAAACAGATCAGATGATAACTGTTGTCATTAGAGCCTTGACAAGATTCAACAAAGTGAAACAAGGGCAATAACCCTAGATGTAATTAATGGAAATTGCTGAAATTCCATAGGCTTCTTTTTTTTACTAATTTAAATGATGCATATAAATTTATTGAAATTAAATAGGCTTCTATATCTCACTAATGCAAACAACATATATCAATATTAATTTCAAAACAATCAGATGACAAATGTAGTCTGTAGAGTGTTCACAAGAAATTTTGGACGACGCACGGGGGCGACGGCAATATTATACAACCACATTTCCATGATGTGGGCGTATAAAAAAGGAGTCCAAATAACGAAAACGAATGGCGTATAACTCTTTGCCATGCCGAATGCGAATTACTTTTTCAGTTTGCCATCTGGATTATAGCAAATAATATCCTCTGCAGTATATTTTGTATTATCTATTTTGGAACTATTATAAAAGTATGGCCAGCTCTTTGTGTAAGTCTTACATAATGCTTCCCTAATAAGACTCACAGATCTATTACTATTAACCATTAGACTTATTACTTAAGAGTTAGACTTAGTAACTTGACTTAGACTTCATAGAGAATTCTCAGAATTGTATGAGGATTTTTGACGACTAGAGTAGAACTACATTTACATTGTTAACGTCAGTTATTTCATAGCTTATTCTAGATATTTCAGATCTTCGGAATTAGCTAGTCTAAACTGACAATTGAATATCAATGGTTTTACGTGTGAATGTAGAGCTATATAATAGAAAGAAACGAAAAATATTAAAAATAATTTATCTCACCATGTTGATTTGTTGTTTAGTAATGCTTCCGGGCCTGCGCGCAATAGACTTGAAGTGTTTCCGTTCTGATGACGTAGGGGGATTCCTTGCAATTCTATTGAGATTATTTACTCCCACTGAAGATTAAAACTAATAACTAAATCATATCTGAAAAAAATATAATTTTAATGAAGGTTTTCAGTTTTCCAAGAAAAAGATACATTGTAAAAAGTACTTCTGGTTTTTTTACACTTTTCCTCCTCATTATAGTACTAAAAATATTTGTTCAAATTTACAAGGGCGTGAAGCATAAAATAGGAAGAGCCCGAGAAACTCCCTGAATTGGACATTGGCTGGTTATAACGTAGAAGTTTTGTAATAGCGATAATATAGCGTGAGTCAAGTTGAGTGGTTTTAATCGAGTTGTCAGCCATGAATTTAAATTCAAAGGATAAGACAAAATGATACGCAAGAAAACGGGACACATTTCTATTTCTTACGGTCAAGGGATTACCTGTTGAAATTAGTGCAAGTTTATAAACTTTTTAAATTTCTAAACAAGGTGTATTGTTAGAAGTGTTCTTTTGGTAAAAGTAACGGAATCTTATATCTTCACAATGCTGACAACAGTTTTATGTGTTTTAACTTGTGCATTTATATACCAGGTGGGATTAACTCTAGGTGAGTAGAATTTGAGCGACAACTTAATAATAATATTAATAATTTCATATCTTTGCCCAAGAAAATAAGCAGGAGCCTGACTTGAACCAGGGAAGACGGCCGTTAACACACAAGCGTAGTTTAATACTGTGAAACAATGCGTGTGTCGTACTTGACCGTAATCAATGGAGCATATATTTAGTCACGGCTCGTTAAATTTGTTGATTGAACCGCGACTGACCGGTGATCAGCTGATTGTAGGAATGACGGCCGAAAGATGTTTATTCCATTGTTAATTAACATTGCCTCTACCTTCAATCCCAGGTACTGCTCATGACAAATGAAGCCATAATAAAGCTGACTATAGTTACCTGGAGGGACTTCAGTCAACCGTAACTTTCAGGTGCATGGCGAACAATTCCATTATTATATGAAATCTTTTGTTTTTTTTTTTATGAATTTTAAAAAAGAGAAAAGATATCATCTGTGTGGATTTGGTGATTTTTTTTATTTTATCAATATGTTTGAATATTTACCCAAGTGGGCTTTCTGCTTGTAAAATTTGGGGTCTGCAAGTTGTAGTGCCAATGTTGTGCAACAACCGTAACTAAATTATTTCCCTTTTCAGGGTTTTGAAATTGTTGCTTATATTGCATGTAGAAATGCAACTAATTAATTTCCCTTTTCAGGGTTTTGAAATTGTTGCTTATATTGCATGTAGAGATGTTCGGTGATCCAATTATTATTATGAACTCAGCAAGGGTGACAGGCTAATACATTTCCAGCTAAAACCCAAACCATACATTTAAATGTTTAAAAATTCATTGATGCTTTGTGATCTTATTTTACAGAAAACATAAACCCATAAAGATTAATAAATGTATAGTCTGAAGTCATCTGGAAATTGAACAAATAGGTCCCATACTCTGATAGCATTTTTTTTTTATACAGACTCATTGACAATCTTTTAATTTATGGTAAATCTTGTATAATATTTTCACATTAGGGAACAGTGGATTCAAGTGTTCGGGGAGGGCGGGGGGAGTTGAAGGATCCCCCTAAAGTAAATTCAGATATCTTTTTTTTATTCTTATAAATCAAAAAAGTAAAAGTACCTAAACCACTAAACCCTGAAAAAAAACCCCAAACATATACTAGGAATCTTTACAAGGTCCTGTATGTATGCATTCATGACAGCACATTAAAGATCTCCCAACAAATATTTGGGCAAAATTTCCATTTTTGTACACTGCTAGTTGTCATTTTCCCAGTTGGTGCAGAAAATTAAAAGTATTAAAGTATATTTCATTTATTCACTACTTGTTTTTAAGGGTCAAAGGGATGTACAGTAGAATAAATCAAACACAAATATATTGTACATCCTAGATACATGTATAGAGAATCTCCTGTGATGACTTTCTAATATTCAGAACAAGGGCTGCCAGCCAACCTGTAAAACAAGTGGTAAATTCAACCAATACAAGTGACAAATTATGGTACTATATCTAATATAGAAAATAACTTCCGGTAATCTGACTCCAAATACTGTATTAACAGCTTAAATCCAACTGAAACAATAATCTCATTAAGACAATAAAGTTTGTCTTAAAATAATCTTTTGAAGTTATAATATATGGATAATATTTGACATGGAATTAAAAGGTTGGCCACCCCTGATCTAGAATATTATAGAATATACTTATGTTATATTTTGTCTATGGAGTTTTGCTTCTTTATCAATTACCTGAAATGTGGATTACAATTAAGGATTACATTCCAAGACTAGAAATTAGTAACTAACAAAATGAGATGCATGATCATAATAATTTTAGGAGAATAAAAAATAAAAACAAATAATGATTTAGATTAAAAATATGGATTACATACATTCCAAGACTAGAAATTACTAACAAAAATGGCTTATTATCATATATTTTTTAAGAATACCCAGTAATGATATACTTTTGTTAATTCATTAATAATATTGAATTAGTATTAACAGGTTGTATGTCTTTCAAGTAGAAGTATTTGGCCATCTGTACTGACAGTAACTAAATACACTGGTTCTGTCTTTATAAAATATTTATTTCTACAGCGTATAAACTATTAACAGATAAACTTATCACCTTAAAGTATTTATAACATTACTGCCAGTACCTGTGGTAGAAACATACTTGTAAATTTAGTATGGTATGATACTTCATTTATTTTTCTCATAAAACCCATCATGTTAAGACAGATAGCATTTTTGGGGGGATACAAGGGAATGGTTAGAGTACAGTGAAATCAAGATTAGCAAGTACATATACATAATTTATTAACTTAACAATGTACATAATAATATGGGTGTCTACTTTCTTTAATAGTTTTTTTGATATGGCTCAGTGAGTATGGTGCTGGATTACTAACCTGGAAGTCCTGACTTCCATCCTGTTTGTCCAAAATAGCTCCTAGGGATTTTCCAGCCATGTTTCCCCTTGTCAGTGGAGTTGGAGGATGGGGGGGGGGGGAGGAGGGAGGTCATTTTTTGTAGACATTTTAAAAGTGTACACACTCTATACATGTAAATGAAATGAAATGGGGTTGAATGTAAATACTTTTCTGGACCAACCAGAAAGTGATAAAGACAGGCATATGTCATCAGTATGAGGGCAATTTTGTCTGAGCAGCTGCCCTATTACCTATTTTTTTATTTCGATTTCAAACTGCCAGGGAATCTTTAACATGCTTCCAATGGTACATGTATTCTTGGGACCTTGGTATTTCATGCCATCCGAATGGCTTGACATATTTCACTGCCAGATTGACTGTCCCGTATCAATGACAAGGCTAAAAAATCATGAGGAACTATTTTGACCAACAATGGAATCAAGTGCTGGACATCCTGGATAGTGGGTCTGTGCCATGCTCAGGGAGCCACTGTCTCTCAGCCTACATACATACAGTGATAATGTACATTTACAGTACCTGTAGTAAGTTAACACAATAAGGACAGTATGCTACAAGTATGAACTTTAGGAAATAAAAGTGATATACTGTGACCCTAGAGAGGTCAATGTTATTGGTTAATGAGTAAAACAGGGTCTAGACAACAAGTGTTTGTTATTCTTATCACAGAATATATGATATCTATATAAAAACACACACAGAGTTTCCTTATCTATATTTACTTACAAAATGGTGTTTCACCCATTTTCCTCTTAACTTTTAACTTTTTTAAAATGGACTAAATATAAAAGTAAATTGGTTTAGATGATAGGATTGCAAAATGGTGTTGCACCCATTTTCCTCCTAAACTTTTTAACTTTGCAAAAATGGACTAAATATGAAAAAATCAGTTTAAAAAAATGGGATCTAAATTTCAATAACCTATTTTTTATGCACGTAGAATAAAAGAAAACAATTATAAATCTATAAATGTAGTTTATTTATGTAAAGAAATTAGTTTTTTGGGTAATCCCAAAATATTTATTTATTTATTTATATATAGAAATATGATTACAAAATATTGAGTAGAACCAGTTACAGCTGTACATGTAGTATCAAAATAAACTTCCCTTTTTTCAATTTAAATGGTTTTATGGAGTCCACAGAATGGACATGTTTTAGATTTAAAATTATTTAAAAGCAGTGGAAAAGATTAAACAAGGTCAGATTGAAGAGGTGGTTATCATGGTTACACAATTAGCAGACACACTTTTCATACACCACAGTACATCTGATAAATCTACTAGCATTTCTGAAACTAAAGGATGGGTACCATATTGACTTCACATGTACATGAAGGAGTGGTTCACTTCTCTCCACAAATTCTCATTTTACTATTTATTGAGAATATTTTCTTAATTGCTCCTCCCATAAACCCAAAATAAATAAATGAATTATATTTTCATAGTTGATAAAGAGTTTATGAATTATTTAAACAATAGATAAGAATCACAACGTGATGAGTTTGTGGCATTTCTTGTATGTTTTTCAAAACAAAAGAATTATCTGCTATTCTGATTTTTAATAATACTTGACTCTTGAGCAATTATGTTTTCTGATGTTTTGCCAAGAATTAACTTAACTTATAACATGCATGCTGTAATGAGTATTGTTGTTTATAAATATAGCTGTATCATTATGAACACTAATGTTCATTTTTTGGTTTAAAAGTCGATAAGAGTTACAGTGTACAATGTGTATGGGTTTGTTTCTTTCTGTTTCTATCTTTTTGTTTCCTCCCACTCCCAGATTGTTTATCCATATTGTCCTGTGGGGATGACGGCACAGTGCCCCCCTCAAATATTCGGGCGATTAGAAATTTAGACAAGACAGCCGCAGTATTTCAGCAATCTATTTAGTCAACTGAACTCATTTTGAACATTAGTGGTGAAATCCAACAAGAATCTCATGACTACCACTTCTATTCCAATCTACAGTCAATGTACAATGAACCTCACTGATATCATCAATGTTCGTAATCTTCAAACTAAAACAAGAATCTTTAAGAATATTATTCCAAGTATCAAGAATCTCATTAAAGAGAATATGGCTCTATGGGTCGAAAAGCATATTAATGTAATATGGATGTGTTAACAAAGTGATTTATATTCAGTTTTAAAAAATATATTGTAATTTCTAATCAATTATGTTTGATGAGATGCATAAATATTCCAAATGGAATGACAGTCATTTACACCCACTGAATCCATTACACGTTTTTATACGCCCACATTGAAATGTGGTCGTATATTGTCGTCGCCCCCGTCCGTCCGTCCGGCGGTCCGGCGTCCACAATTGCTTGTTGTGGACGCTCTAGAGGCTAAAGTTAATATCTGATTGACTTTAAATTTATACACAGTGTTTAAGGTCTTGAGACGAAGAAGCCTATTGATTTTTCAGCGATTTTCGATAATTATTGCCAGAGTTATGGCCCTTGATCACTTTGAAAATTCTTGTGGATGCTCTAGAGTCCAAAGTTAATATCCAATTGACCTTAAATTTATACACAGTGTTTGAGGTCAGGAGACGAAGAA